ACTTAACAGTCAGCATGTACGAAGATACTATACATCTACAATAAGCCAATATCATCTGATATCTGTTAAGGCCTAGTCTGTGGGTGCACTTCTATTTATTTGTTTTTATACACATTTTTAGTTTGTACACTAAAAAACTGCAAGTGGAAATTTAAAAAAAGCAAACAAGTTTTTACATTTTGCCAAAGTGGAAAAGTTGGTGTATCAGTTAAATAAAATGTAAGAAAGTGCAATGGAAACAGACATGGCGATTTAATGATGACATGCATAAAGCATGTGACCTAAATGTCTACTGAAGAGACAGAAACATCAGATCTGCATGGAGCGATGAGGAGACTGTAACCTTCCTCACATGAAACATGAAACAAACTGGAATGTCATGTTTCCATCACATTTTCAACATTTTTTCACAGCCAGTACACTTTGACTGTAGCTCTTTTAATGACCTCATCTCGTGTCCTCTTCTTCGGCAGCGGTTTAATCAGCCTGTTCTCATTTCCAATTCATCAAATGTTGCCATTTGGTCAGAGATTTTGGTGTCACTGTTGCAAAAAGCTAGCTTTTACAGCAGTATGTTACACCGCAGGGTAGCGTCAGTGTCTAACACTGCAGGTGTCAGCTTGAAACGCTGCCAGTAACAATGTAATATAAGGAGCTGGAAAGTCCCTATACTTCAAGTAGGAGGGGGGGTGAATGGGTCCAACAAACCCTGGACTCTCACCCAGGAGGCTGCTATTCACTTGCCGTGTGAATGTTGAGCCAAATCATGATGTTTTTTCTTAACCTAACTACAGGTTTTTCTTGCACAAGGAACAAAACCCAAAACATTAGTTGTTTTATGACATTGTCAGTTTATTTTGAAAAGGACTGTATGCATCTAACAAGCAGAAACTGTACATAATCTGAAGTTTATTTTGAAAAGACACAAGGCATGTAATAGGTGTAAATCCCGGAACATTGACAACAGATGCAGGACGGTACCTAGTGCATTGTGAGGTGAAAGTCCGCTGACCAAACAGCAATCTTTGATGAGTTGGGATGAGAACGTGTTGGTTTAATGAGAAAATGCGCCACCAGCTGTTAATCTGATGAACCAACTCCTAATAATCACATACATTTAATACATTTACAACATTTAATACAAACATTTAAGTCAATTAGAATTTGCTGTTCCTGTAAAATAGGTTTTTTTCTGGGCTAAATAAAGCTATTATAGTTATAACTCTGCTAATCGACAAAAATATTATGTGGTTCATGGCCTGACTCTCTAGTTGGAAAATAGAAAAACACAAAAAGTACACAAACATATACACTTACTGTACATACACATCTACACACAGCCCAGGTAAATAAAAGAGCATCTGCGCTCCAGTCTTTTCGGATTATGTTTTAATTCAATCTTTTGATGGATTCGAGCCCACCTTTACTCCTTTCATCAAGTCTGACGAGGTCAAAAAAACTGACCCCCAGACAGCTGACAGAGAAAGATGGCATATTTGGGTAAAAAGCAGCTTATGAAAGCTTATATTTAAGACATGATTTAATTAGTGTTGACACATTTCAGCGAGTTGTCAGGCATTTTGATGTTGTGGTTAGACTCAGAGGAGGTAAATAGACAAGGGTTACTCCCAGGAGATGGCCCTGTGTTTGGATATGTTTACCCTACAGTACAATACACAAAAGCTTATGTGTATTCATGAGAATGGAAATGCATATCATTTTAGGGGTGAACTTTCCACTGGATGCTAAAGGTAAATAAAATAGAGATATGTGTCAATGCTTCTCTGTGCATGAGCCGTTAGCCGTGTTATTACTTAGAGCCTTACATCACTCACTGCTATCAACTTTGGGGGTCCCTTGGAAATTAATTTAGATCCTTCAGTTGGCCCCTCTGGCTAGGTTCAAAAACAGCGCCAGATCTACATGAAAGTGGCTTTATTTCTCACATTTCTAAAGCTTGTTTCTATTTCCCGTGAAGTGTTACTCCTGAGAAGGAAAAAAACACAAATCTGGAGGTGTGATATTTTTCTTTTTAGAGTAAGGGCCCCTTTTTTCCCTTGACTACCCAATTAAAGAAATAGTTTTTCAGGGGTGTTGTCTTAATGATGCCTTACTGGGGGCAACAGGTTTCATTTGCAGCGCGATGTTAGAAAGCACAATAAAACTGCGCTGATGTGCTGCAACAGTCTATTTCATTTTATTAATAGCCATATTGCAGTACAGTACACAGCGATGATTCATACCTAAATTGCGAGCTGTGTGGAGTCTCGTCTGCCCACCAACGTGGCGTTGAGATGCCTCTCACGTCCCACTGAAGCACTTTAAAAATTTGAGCTAAAAAACAAAACAGATGGACATGGAATTTCTAAAAATTTGATTTGGTCCAACAATCTGTGGGAACGTGTCAGGATGTGTATACGCTGCATGTCTGTGCAAGTGCGGGTCTGTGTGTGGATGAGGCATTTGCATCAAGCTGATACATTACATGACATCATGGCTGTAACACCTTTGTTGCCATGGAGGCTGCCAGTTCAGTCATCTGAAATAGTTCATACCTTTGCATGGCCAAACAGCGCATTTCTGTGCATTTAATGTTCTTTTTTCTTTTTTTTTTGTGAAATATTCTGGACGTAAAACCCCAAAAAAGTACCTGGAGAGCCTGCTTTTAAATGGAAGAGAGTCAGAGACTGAAAGTGACAGAAAAAAGCATGACGGAAAGTAAAAAAAAAAGGAAGCAAAGAAGGGAAAGAAAGCGACAAGAATAGAACGTTAGGATAAAAGGATGACTAAACCCAACTCCTCGGAGGGTGAGAGCCAATCTGAAAAATGATTGGTTGACTTTCCTGGGGCAAAGCTCTCTTTGCTCACATCAATAAAACATAAACATGAATAAATGCACTGCTTTTGGCCTTCCAGGGTCCATACTTAATTTCATGTATGCAAGTGAGCGATGATACGCATGGAAAATTGTATTTACCTAGAAGGCTCAAAATAATTCTGGAAGCCATTTTGTGTTTGTTTGTTTCCAGTATTTACATAAATGCAGGACTGCTCCATAAACACTTCCTATTTGCAGTTAACGCTACTTCATTTGTCGGGTTCTCGCAGTTTAAGTGACGCATCTTATGTGCAGGTCATGTGCTCCCCCTTACCATTTGCATGTATAGTAGTTGGTCCCTGTTGACTTGAGCCACAGATGCACGGCTATCAATAATGTTGAAGACGTGGGAACACACAGTCTCCAGTGATGTACTCTTGATGTATCCACTTAGGGACAAATCATCCAGACAGTCATCTGCCTTGCTAGTCTGTTGGTCCCTGAGGTAGATCTCCGCTGACCCGATTCAATGGGTCAGCTTTTGTTAATGAACCCACCGCACAAACACGTTGACAACATTTAAGATGCAGCTCCTAATGACAATTGCAGCTTGGGTGCTGAGAGGCTTTTTGTTATCAAGTTTTTGCCATTGGGGGCTATTTTTAGACGCTGCTTTACGTCCTTGACGAAATTCGTGAGCATTTGATTTAATTGGATCCTTGTGCAAGATGGTGCAAGTGATTGAAACCCATAAAGCTGTGAACATTTATTCGTTGTTCACTCGGTTAATTTGCAGTGCTGGGTATTTGAATCCCTCTGGTTGGTGAATGAACTGCCTCTAGTTTGACACTGATAAAATCAATTCCAGATTCAATTTACCTCATAGTATTTGTAATGTCCCATGACACAGAGTCATTGTTGTTAGCAAGAGAGAACTGAGGAGACAAACGATCAACAGTTTGGCAGAGTTTTTCTTTCGTATCTATTTTTCAAAGCAGGCAATTAGGCCTAACATCACAGCCACTTAACTAAGTCTGTACTCCAAATTGATTCAGACTCCAGCGTTGGACCTTGCAGACATGGTGCATTTAGTTATGCAAATGCTTATCTCTCTGTGTGATTGGTTAATTAACCTGTAATGCAGATAGTCCCAGCCATGCACAGTGGCCGTTTGATGGCTAAATTGTGGGTCAATTGGGTTTTTAACATTTTCAAAGCAGACTTAGAGGCATGTCTTTGTTCCTCTGAGTCTTGTGTGGCTTTTCTCGGTTTAATGACTTGTTCCGTGGGTCCCATAAGGTTAATGTGTTTAAACTCACTGTAATTGAGCTTTTGACCCATCTTTCAAGCTTTTTAAAAAAATTAGTCATATTATGCCATGTTCCTGCTCCTTGATTGTTATTATCTGCCATCCGTCTCCCTCCCTCCCTGCCCTGCCCTAAATTCTCCATACCCCAACCCCCCCTTTCTATCCTGAGTTATGAGCATCCCCATGGGAAGTCATTTATAATGCCATTGGAGTGACAATAATTCGTTTGCACACCATTTCACTCTGCCCTCTGTGCCTTGGCAGGCTTTTATGGGCCACATTTTTGTTTCCCCAGAAACACATTGTCCAACCATCCTCAGAGAACAAGCAAAAGCATTTAGCCAAAACTGGAGCTGGACGTCTTCCAGCGAGTAAAATAAGTGACATAACATCTTCCAATAACATTTGAAATCAACATTTTGTTGGTGCTTTTGCAGATACTTGACTATTTTGACGATAAAAGCAAGACAGGAAAGGAAGAAAAAAGAAGAGAAGGAGAGAGGGCTGTGCGGTGCAGCCGCTGACTGCATTTCTTTTCATTGTTCAGTGAACAATTATGTTCAGATTTTGCTGTTATGTAGGTATCATTCCACATGAGATACAGACACAATTCTTGACAGCCCACATGGATTTTCTTCAGAACCTGCCACCAGCAGACTGACATCTCCTGACAACATGAGGATCACTTGTCATTGGGATAACATACTGTATGACGCTGATATTTATTAGTAAAGGGATGTAGCAGACATGTTGTATTCATTCCACATCATTAGCTTTAGACAGGTAATGTATGTACGGGGGGTACTTATGCAAAAGCCTTTTAGTGCAAACGCTGGCGTATAATTAAGCATGTCTGTTGCTGTTATGTTGCAGGTGATCCTGATCTTGACTAAGCTGTATGACTTCAACCTGGGGGCTGTTACTGAGAGCTCACTCTGGAGGTAAGTTTGTTTTTAATGATTGCTATTTTTCCTTTTCCATCTAAATAGGAAGGTTATGGCATCATTGCAAGGATTTTATAAAAATGCAAAAGCACAGGCCCCAAAACAATAAGGATAATATATTCATAGAGGGTGCAGTGTAGTGTAAGTGTGATTTATAGTGTTCTCAGTCGCCAGGATATGAACAATGAAGTTACACTGGAAGCCAATATGAAGTATGTTTTAATAAAGCTATCTGAAGTAGATCAGAATGAAGCATCCTCCTCTTTGCTTCCTTCAGTCTTCAGTTCAGCGATATCGATTATACTCGATGTATCGTAGCATTGAATATAAATTGTGACATTATAAGCCACCGACATGAGATTTGCTTTTACATTTCAGTTCTCTCGAGCTCCCCCTCTCACAGACACACACACACAAAAAGAGTCACAAACATGTTAACATCACACATGTGGCCCCACCCATCCAGACCACTCTGTTGGGCGATAGTGTGCAAAATGAGGCATATTTTTTGTATCTGCGGGGCTCCATATTGTGACCATTTAATACGTCATGCAAATATTTTTAATGTACGTACTGGAGAGCTGCTAGTTTGTTTCGCGCTCACAACAAATTAATCGTCACATATAATGGCATTACAGTTACAGTTTAACTTTCTGTTTACTGCTAACATCTAACTGTTGACTCAGAGCTTAAAGTTCACAGAGAAAACACCAACACTTCCAACCTGAGACGAGCCAGGTGCTTCAGAATAAAAGCACCAGTGGTTCTGCTTTAATTCATTTTATTGTAATAGTTCTTAATTTAATTTTATTGTAACATTACTTTATTTAACTTTATTGTAACAGTGCCTTATTTAACTTTATTGTAACAGTACTTTATTTAACTTTATTATAACAGTGCCTTATTTAACTTTATTGTAACATTACTTTATTTAACTTTATTGTAACAGTACTTTATTTAACTTCATTAAGACAGCACTGTATTTAACTTTATTGTGGCTGTAATTTATGTAATTTTATTTAACTTTATTGTACTAATACTTTATTAAACTTTATTATAACAGTAATTTATCTGACTTTATTATAACAGTACTTTAACTTTATTTTGAGTGTAGTTTATTTAACTGAATTATAATAGTACTTTATTTACCTTTACAATAACAGTACTTTTACTTTGTTGTAACAGTACTCTGTCTAACTAACTTAATTGTGAAGGTAGTTTATTTAACTTTAACAGTACTATAGCTTTATTGTAACAGCATTTTATTAAACTATGTTGTAATAATTAATTTAACTTTGTCATAAAAGTATTTTATTATACTGCACTATAACAGTACTTTTACTTTGTTGTACCACTACTTTATTTAGATTTATTACAATTTATTGTAACAATCCTTTATTGAACTATATTGTAATGATGGTTTATTTAACTTTATCATAAAAATACAGTACTTTGACTTTGTTGTAACAGCGCTTTATTTAATTTAAACAGTAGAACTTTATTATAACTATACTCTAATTAACTTCATCACAACTGTAGTTTATTTAGTATGTTAGTGGTCTACAGTTGTTTTGAAGAGATTTTAAAATATCAGATATATATTGTGTTTTGCAATATAGCCTAAAATTATCACAATGTTATTTATAGGCCATATTACCGAGCTCTTCTTCAGTCCTATACATGACTGAAAACCAAACTTTTAGATAAGGCCCAACCTGTTTTCCGTCTATCCTGAGAAACTTTCTGAAAGACTATTGAAAAGATAAACGTGAAAACTTATCTGCAAGATCTTTAGTTTGTGTCTCGTTTCCTTTGACCTAGAAACTTCCTGATGGAGTTTTTTGATTGATTGTCATCCGTAACCTTTTGTTTCAGAAGCGATTGACATGCAATTTCTACTGTATAGCCGTAGTAATTCCATTCAGTATGTATTGAGAGGTGAGTTACAGTGCCCTGTCAGATCATAAATAAGAATGGAATTCATTAAGGATTATACCACAGAGGCCAATCCAGCCTCTGATATGGCTTTTTTCTCACCTCCCCTGTAGCCTGCAGAGAACTCATTTCATTCTGAAATACACGTGAAAAAGAGACCATCAGTCCGCCAAGCATAGAGTTTCAAATTAATATCTGTTTCACCAGAGGCGCAGCTAAGATTTACACCCGACTTGACACGTTTTGAAATCCCATATTGTGTACAGGAGGTCTTCCATCATCAAGGTGTCTGCTTAACAATAGCACCACGAGTAAATTAGAGTGTACCTCAGGGGGTGCACGAAGGCTCTTAGTATGGGTATTAGAAAAGCAGAGATTTGAATGTTATGAAAAGAAACGGGAGTAAATGATTTCTGTGATAACACACACTAAATGATTTATGACTACAGCTGCGGGCCACTGTTGGTGGCAGAATGCAGTGTGCACATCAGTGGGTGACTTGCAGAAGCTATCTAAACACGCATCGAGCCCCTTTGTGTTTTTAGTCGGCTAACCTTTCTGCAAAAGAAACTTCACGAGGTAATAACATCATTTAAGAGGCTTTCTTCCAGCCTCAATCAAAGACAACTGAAAGGAGTACTTAAGCGCAAATACAAATGTGTTGAGGGGTAAGTCTTTGTAAACAATGTCAGCACCAAATGGGACGATTCAGATTAATGCACAGACAATGATAGCAGACACTGGGTATCTATCCAATTATGCAGTGAAATTACATTTGGAGGCACTCAGGTAGAACTGAGAGCGTGGATCGGCTGTTTGTGGCGAGGAGAAATATGGAAATTGGGATGACAAACACATGCCCTAGTCATGGGATGCATGGACTTGTTAGGGGCAGGCAGTTCTTCCATGTTGTGACAGACTTTAATGACTTATTAAATTTAAACACATTTAATTAATAAGGACCAAGAACTGTGTCATTTATTCTCATTTATTTCCTTTCCTTTGATCTGCATTTTTACAACAACGTAAACCTGTATTTGTCGTCTTTGTGGTGCTAATTTGTTGTGCTATAGTGACTGAAATGCCACATTTAAGCTTCCCCAGCTGAAGAGAAATCTGAACACAAGGGGCTGAAACTAAATCTCTCAGTCAGTTGCAAACAGAGAGAACAAAAGGCCACTAATTTGAGATTTAAAAAAAAAACAGCATGAAAGGATTCCCCCACTGCTCTCGAAAGGATGTCTTCAAATTCTTTCCTCACTGTCTTCAATGTACAAACATCTACCAACATGAAAGGAGAGTAATGGCTCATCTGCTGTAAGATAACAATGTGTTCATCACTCAGGATTTTGTTATATTCCAGGACTCTGCTTGTGTTGGAGGTTTCAGTCCTTTGACTGCAAATTGCATTTACTGTATACGCTTACATTACTGTTGACCATTTTCCAAGGCAAACTTGAGTTTCATAAATCAATTTCCTATCTTGCAGGCAGCCGCTGGTTTCATTACATGTCAGTGTAGCATGAAATCCAGCCTGCAAGGACTTGCTTGACACGTGTGAAGTGAATATTTAGTCTGCATAATGTGTTTGTCAAAGCTACGTTTTGCTGAATGGTATTGTAGTTGCAAGTAAGAGATGCCTAATGAATATGTCAACATTTTTTAATGCAGAAAGCTACCACACTTGCTTCATGCTGCTGATGTATTGCTAAAACCATCCGTTGTTTGTCGGTCTCGAACTAGGTGTCATTCCATCCAACACATTCTCACTCCAACCTCATCACATATTGATTTGGTCATGGACTTTCCATGTCCAGATACGACATGAAAGGTACCCTCGGTGTTATGTGCATTGTCTTCTTTCAAAATACACTTCCACTTTCACAGGAAATTTACTGTTTACATACAGTCTCTTTCAAAATAAAAGCATTACGTCGCACGTGGTTGGGTTTAGGAAAAAAGAATAGGGTTTGGCCAGCCTGGTTCCAGACCACAGACCCCGCCCACTCAACTGAGTAGGCTTGCATCTCTGGTCTGGCATACTTCAATGAATTTGCGATTTATCTCGTCCAAACGCTGGACGGACCAATGAACGCCAGGGGTGGGGGCGGCTCTAGCGATTAGCCAATCAGCGCCACGCTGATGTCTAGCTGTACACTGGTGGGTAACTGGTGAGGATAGCAACAATGGCGACCGCTACAGACCCTACAAACCACATTGACGATGCTATCGAGGTATTTCGCCACTACCCGTGTTAATGGAGGACCAAATTAAGGAAGCTGCTAAACTGGATTTAACAGCGATGCAGCTGGGCGTGCACGACGACGGAGACATTTTAAACGGGCAATGCTTGCTTGTTTTCGGCACCCCCGAGGCATGGGTACTAATGACATCAGATTCTGGGTGAGTCGTTGAACTCTACTGATTGGTTAGGGAAAAAATCAAATTCCCTCCCCCTTGTAAATCGCCTTCAATGGAAGCCATGTCAGACTGAAGGTTCTGGGAGCTTCAGTCTGACACTCAGGCTAGGGTTTGGCTTTATACTCTTAGAGGAGGCAAACACCACTCTCTCAGGTGAAAGTCGGTGTTTGTTTGACCCATCCACCACCCCTCCCGCCCGCACCTCTTGAACTTTCGCCGCCTTAACTATCGTTCTTGTCCTGCCGTTCCCGTTTCCCCCTGATGCTGCCGGTGCCATTAAACTGTAACAGCAACCGGCCACGTATCATGCCAACATTAAAGGATGGCTATTTCGTTGGTGTCTGACGCCGCAAGTCATTGCCCAAGCTCCAGATTTCGGCAACTTCAGAGTGAGACCGGGTTGCTCCATCCATCATCCCCTCCACCTCTCTGATGACAGTCATCTCATATACATGTAATCAGAACTATGTCACTTTAGAAATGTTGAAATGAGCCATATCAAACACACATATGTAACATAACTGTGGCTCATTGAAACATACAATACCAACATTTTGTTTGGCAATGATGTGACAGATATGCAAATAAATTGTGATGTAATGTTGCGACATCCAGCAACTTTCTGAGCAGACTTTTGCTTCCTTCCATTGAAAACATTTGGCAACACAGGAACACAAGATGCAAACAAAATGAGTACAAATTCATCAAAACATTTCCCACTCTTTTCAAAAACTCCACAGGGTCCCTTTAACAGTTATTAATTTAATCAGTCTGTTTGCACAGCACATTTCTGTAAATCTCTGCAACACCAACTGACTACTTGAGAGCTCTGCTTTTTATTCAGCCGCCACCCTGTGTAGAAACATGTTGGCTGAATAAAGAGCAGACTCTTCCATTAGTGAGTGCGTTTTTACATGTTATTTTTTCCCCCATTTGGTCCTTTTTAATAATTTGAGCACCTACAGTAGACAGCTAGTGGAGTAATGACAGCATACTTCTTTGGGAAGGCACATTTCTTGCAGGATTCCATCAAAGTACTTTATAAGAGCAACAAAAACAAAACATAACACATTAGCATGAAGCTAGTCGCTCCCCCTGCAAGTTGATTTTCTTTCCATAAAGCAAAAGGCTGCCTGAGAGGTAGAAAATCAATCTAAAACGTATGGTATGCTTTGGAGGATGCAGTCACGCGAAGGATAACTGATTTGCGGTTAATGGGCTAAAACATGCCAAACCCACTGGTATGGTGCTTTAAAATCTGTCTCAGGCAGGTCTCTAATGTAGCTTTTTTCATCCAACATACGACATGTTTTTGTTTTGTTCGTGTCCAGATCCTCTGATTATGGAAGCACCTACACCAAACTCAACGACAAAGTGGGCTCAAGGACGGTTTTAAGTTACCTGTACGTCTGCCCGACCAACAAACAGAAGGTCAGCACTTCCCTGTTGCTTTTATCTCTCTGTCTGAGCTCTCACAAGCTCAGTCCTGACATCAAATTACACTTTTTTTTTTTCATAAATTGCTGCCAAATGACTGTATCTGTGTCTCCCTCTCCTTCTCTCCCTCTTCTAATGCCGTATCCCTCGTTTGGCCCTCTGTACTTTAGATAATGATGCTTAGCGACCCAGAGGTAGAGAGCGCTGTTCTCATCAGTTCAGATGAAGGGGCAAGCTTTGAGAAGCATCCCATTAACTTCAATATCCTGAGCCTGCTCTTCCATCCTGCACAGGAGAACTGGATGCTGGCTTACAGTCATGACAGCAAGGTAGCTTCTGAGTGAATCCGCAATGACGATATGATGCTGAAGCCTGTTTTTATTTTCACTGAGATTCTACTGTGGATGTCATAATGGCTGCTTATTAGCAATGTCTTGCTACGTTTGACAAACATCGGTCTAATTTTATCTTGCAGCTGTACAGTTCGATGGACTTTGGGAGGAAGTGGCAGCTTGTCCATGACAACGTGATGCCAGGCCGGTTCTACTGGTATGATTACGTGGATCCTATTTTTGCACACTGATTGATTGTAATTTGCATAATTATAATGCTCATGACCCTATGCTTCCAGGAGGATCCAGTGACCTCTTGTCAAAAAAAGATATCCCCCCTCATGGCAGTCAAGCACAAAACTGATTACATCCATGTCACGTAGACCTGGAGGAATAATGTGCTTCTTTTTCCATAGCACAAACATGACATGCTGTTTTTGTTGTCGCTGTCATTTAGTAATCTAGACTGCTCGGGCACAAGGCATTGAATATTGATGTGAGCCCGTTTATCCCTGTTTGTCATGGTACGTGTCAAACCCAAGAGTGTTTTTTAGCCGTGAAAGAAAGGACATTGGTTGGAGGACATCCTCTCCACATGCATGAACAGCGAGACGTTAGATAAATAAGAACGGCGCAGCAGGTAAAGCGGCACCCGAAAAAAATGCATTATTTGTGCTCTTGAAAACCATTCCTTTGTGCACATTATGTCAGATAGTTATTTTTCAAAATGATGTCGCAGCCACCTACAATTTCATAACAACACACATTCGCCATGGTGGATATTTCTGGGAGTAGCTGATGTTTGTTTCCTGTGTTGATGCTTTGGTGAATTGAGATTAATTGCCGCTGGTGGCACAGATTCTCCACTGACTGATTTACAGGAGATAAAAACATCTTTCACAGAACAGGAATGTGAGTCCATCTATAGCTGTGATACTCAACCTGGCCTCCTCCTCTTCTGTTTTTTTCTATCTCATTCTCATTTTCCCTTTTCTTCCCCATCTCCACCTCTTCCTGCTCCTCCTCTATCTCCCCCCCCCCCCTCACGCTCTTTCAAGGGCGGTAATGGGGCTGGACAGAGAATCAGATGTGGTCCACATCGAGACGCGCATCGCGAAAGGCCGTGAGTGCTGCACTCCAGTCCGCCGCAGTAGCAAGACCCACAGGACCCCCATGCCTCTCATTTAGAGCGAGGTCACGGGGAAGATGAGGCCCGTTCTGCTGTTCAGATTGGTCCCTGAAGTCTAGTATAGCAGAATAGGTGTCTCCTGACAAAAACGGAGAGTTTTAGTGGGTTGATGGATGTTTCTTCTCTGTAATCTATCCCCTGTGTCTCATAGACAAACCTCAACTCCCCCCCTTCTAAACAGCATGGTATATTCTGTCAAACCAATTATAGGGGTTTCCTGCATTGGAACAGATACTCATATTCCTCCTGCGGTGAGAAAATCTGCCTCTGAATTAGCATACAAACTCTTTTTGTCTCACACAGACGGAAATCCTTAACTTTTTTTGTAGAGTATTACACCGCAAGTACTGCATTAGTCTTGAATCTCAGCAAATTCGAATTGCAAAAAGGGACGACTGTCCACTGTAGTTGTTGAATATTTTCATTATTGATACAGTTAGCTTAAAGTTGTTTCAGAACGGTGAACCCAGGGTGCTTATGCATACTGTACAGCAGCTCCAGTGAATACAAAGTGCAGTTTAAAGGTGTAAATGGTTGTAATTTACTTCTGATTGATTTCCTTTCGCCTCCCTCCAGGCGCCCAGTACGTGAAGTGCAGAGCCCAACGCTGCACAGAAGGCAGCCGACTGTACCTCTTCCCTGGACATGTAGACACCAACTCGCTGGTTGTGCAGGATGAATATGTTTTCACACAGGTTTGTGTAGTAATAGATTACCTTTTCCTTCTTCATCATCGCACACAACGGCTTCTGTCTCTGTGGAATTTTCTTTGTTTTTATTATTTTTTTATTTGGTTTTTTGTGCTTCATGCTTTTTCATCAAAACCCACATAATGGCTTTCCCCAACACACCTGTTCCCCACTTGCCCGATGTGTGTTTTGATTATGTTTTGTCTCGTTCATGTGTCTCGTGCTCAGTGTTTTGACTTTCCACACAGACACACTCCATGCCCTGAAAAATGTGTTTGCTAGCTGAGATCTCACGGCAAAAAGGACTGTGAATAGACAGGTTGGTGTCCTGATTACCATTCGCTCTGACTTTGACTCCAATTAGTGAGAGGCAGTCAGGGTCATTATTAGAAATTTAATTTTCAAATGCCCTCCGCTGTCATTGATTTCCATCCAGAGCTAAGTAATTTTCTCTCTGCTGGTCAGCCTTGATGCATTTTGGTCATCCTTGTTAGACTCCAGCTAAGTTCCAGGAAAATAAAAATGATGGCAGTTTTCTAGTGTTTGTAGTGAATCTCTCTGCACTCTGCCATTTTGAATAAATGTTTGCTGTTGGGTTTTTTAATTTATTTATCCACAGATTTAATCTTTTGATATGATATGATGTTGCAGCAGCCGTACTTTAGCTGTGACCCAGTTTCACTTTCAACACACTTAATCCACAGACTTGATTGGAATGGCTGCGATGTAAGAATGAGAATGTATGAAAAAAATATATCACAGTGTGATTCAGAAATGGTGATTCAATAAAATGCCCAAATTGCATTTAGCCGAGATGAGATTGACCGTCAAGGCGGAGGCAGACACGAGGAAGATGTCTGGTGAAAATAACTGGACATGGAGAGTGTCTGTGCGACGCTGTGGTGGCACAGATGACTTTCTTGTGACTTTCATTGCTCGGGGCAGTTGGATTTAACTTGACAAAGAGTAATGAGGTTATCGATTGGGCTACAACGAAATAAGCAGTCTTCAACACCTCCAAAGTCTCTTGGGAGAGGAGGAACAGCCAAGTGCAACATCCTCAAAAATGTGGCCTGGGAAAATGCAGCTCATTGATTTTCGATAGATTATTCCATTAGAGCCCTAATGTAGTGTGTTGGGGGACAAACACCATCCTTCTAGTTGATTAGAAAATAAGCAATCAAGTAGTGTTGCCCTGCCTGTAAGTGGACAGGAAAGTGCTAGTGCATTAAGATCTTCAAGGCGCACTGTAGATAAAGCCAAGACGATTTTCAGTGCCTCTTAGCTTTAGACTAATTGAGATAATGATAATAATTTCTGTTGTGCTTGTAATTTCAGTCTGCTTTCGACACTGTGGAGTAAAATTGCAAGCGTTTTTTCATCAAGTCAGTCATGCGTTGCAAATTAATACACCTCCTTCAGGAGATGGTTTAGCTTCATGTCCTCATTTCACTTTTGGGATGTGACTCTGTCTTGTTAAAAAAAAACAACACTCTCATCCCATTTTGTTTTTGCATTTTCCGGACAGTCTACATAGTCCTCTCTATGTAGTAAAAACTCGTGGCATCAATCAAAATGCAAATAAAAGAGTCGCTGACCTAAAATAGAGAAAAACAAGGTGTTATGTGAAGCGACACTAAAATATGTATATGTGGTCTATTTAAGGAATGACAAGGCTTCTCTTATTTCATGCAAAGGTAACCAAGTCAGGACGAGCCAGCTACTTCGTCTCCTACATGAGAGAGTCCTTCAAGCGGATGAAATTGCCTAAATATTGTCTTCCGAAGGTAAGCAGCAAAGACACCAATCAGCTAGGGCTGTCCTGAATATGAGTGTTTGGGCATCAAAGCTTTACTGAGAAAAATCTGTGATTAATCACGGCTTCGATCAGGGTTTGAGAAGAAATGAGAGGATTTTTTTAAAGCATTCATTTTCAGTCAATACACATAAAATAATATGACAATTGACTCTTCGCTAGGTCCCGCCCCCGGATGCAGACTGGCCAATCATAACATACATGTAGCATGAGGCCTCCACAGACCAGGATCCGACAGCAACACAGCTCCATTGACTCTAATGCAGTTGTTTCAGATTTCCTTCATTTTCAGGCTGGTTTTGTGGATTTGGAGCTAAATGTTGTGCCTGGGGCACGTCGTGTATTAATGATACTCGTTACCTGGAGAGGTTGGAAAAAGATATACATTTCTTCCCTGTTCCAAAACCAAAATCAAACCCTGAAAAGTGTAGGGTTAGCTAGCTAGCTACTGAAGAAATAGCCTGCTGAATGTATACACGTGCTGCTTTTGCTTTGTAATGATTATAACAGTGAAAAAAAGACCAACCCTGCTGTACAGGAACCAGTGAAGGGAAGCAGGGAAACTTTGCTGATATTCAACCAGCTGTGTGTCATCGCATTATGTGCAAATGAACAGCGTTTGCTTTCCCTGGAGCTCCCTGCCCATCCGGCAGCAGAGGTCTGGGTGCTGGCAGAAGCACAGCAGGAAAGCCAAATACCATTCATCTGCACACACTGTGATGCCACACAGCTGGTTCAATATCAGCAAAGTTTCCCTTTATATTCATTGTCTCCTGTGGCGATCAGCAGTGATGTGGTGGTTCACTTTTACGCTGTGATCTGTAGCCTATAGTTCGGCCTTAGCTTCTAACTATCTTTGTCTTTTTAACCTGTTGTTGCTGCTGAGTCAGTTTGACATCCTGGATATATCCTTCAAACACAGACTATAGTGATTTGCAACCTTGTTGTGGACTTATGATATACCAGTTTCCTTTGGCATCCTTGCACTTGATTTTTTGGGAGTCACCTTCGCAAATTTTTTAAACTATTCAAAATGCGTGACTTTTTCAACATTTTGCTACTTTACTTCTGGTAACTGACTCAGATGATAGTCAGAGTCACAGAACTATTATTAAGTTTAAAGGTCCTTGTCTGAGAATAACTAATAATAATGAATGCTGATGCATAATGAATAATGCTGGATTAGTATTTCTTAATTTATGGGCTGTTTGGGATTTTTGGGGTAATGCATATGTATTAAAAGGAAAAAAACAGAGCATTTGAATACAGATTTGAGCTTTGATTACCATGGCAACGACTGAAGCTTCGAAGCATTTGGGTCAGCCCTACAAATTACTGTCTGATAACAAACAATGTATTATCATAAAGAAACATGATTATTGTTTGCTGTTTTGTAGAAATGAAATTATTATGTGAAGAAACGTCACACTTTATTAAAAAGCTCACTGCCTCTTTTTTAAATTTCTTTTGTGTTTGCTCGCTGTCATCATCTCTTTCCATCTGTTTCACTTGCTCTCACCCACACCTCCCTGCAGGACATGCATATCATCAGTACAGATGAGAAGCAGGTATTTGCTGCAGTCCAGGAGTGGAATCAGAACAACACTTACAGCCTGTATATCTCAGACTCCCCCGGGGTCTACTTTACCCTTTCATTAGAGAATCTGAGAACCAGCAGAGGACCTGCTGGTAACCTACTGGTTGACTTTTATAAGGTACGTAGTTAGTCTTGTTGCTAGGCTGTCACTGCAACACTAATGCCCCTTCCAGTGATTTCATATGGCAGTAAAAAGCACCTGTCAGTTTACTAACCTGCTATTTTAATTAAAGAAGGGCAGAAACTACCAATTATTTTCATTATCAGCTGATCTGGCTATTATTTTCTCCATTAATTGATTGATCGTTTTGTCCTTAAAATGTTGTATCACATTTTTTCAGAGCCTGAGGGAAAATATTCAAATTGCTTGTTCTGTCTGATCAACATTGTAAAACTTAGAGATATTCATTTTAAATGATACAATAGCAGCGAAATCCTCACATTTAAAAAGCTCAGATGTGGTGGTGGAATGTAACTAAGTACATTTACTCAAATATCACACTGAAGTACAATAACGCAATACTTTACGTAAGCATTTTATGCTACTTTATACATTTTACTTCACTAAATTTATTTCATAGTTGTAGTGACTTTTCAGAGCTGCGTCTGCATACTCTGCGTAAAGTCAAACACATTCGCTATGGGTGTTGGCCTCTGCCAGGGTTGTCCGTTGTCACGGATCCTGTTTGTGATATTCATGGACAGGATTTCGAAGTGCAGCTGGGGGAAGGAAGGGGTCCGGTTTGGGGACTTCAGAATTGCATTTCTGCTGTTTGCAGATGATGTGGTTCTGTTGACTTCAACACACCGTGACCTCCCGCATGCAGTGGGGCAGTTTGTAGCCGAGTGTGAAGCGGTCAGGATGAGATCAGCACCTCCAAGAACCGCCATGGTTCTCTGGTAGAAACCGGTATGATGCCCCCTCCAGATTGGGAGAGAGTTACTGCCTCAAGTGAGGGAGTTCGAGTATCTCGGGATCTTGTTCAAGAGTGAGGGTAGAATGGAGCATGAGATGGATTGGCGACTTGGTGCAACTTCTGCAGTGATGCGGGTGCTGTGGGTGTCGTGGTGAAGAGAGAGCTGAACCGGAGGGCAAAGCTTACGATTTACTGGTCCATCTACGTCCCAACCCTCACCTATGGTCATGAGCTCTGAGAGGTGACCAAAAGAATGAGACTGCAGATACAAGATGCTGAAATGAGTTTCCTCCATGGGATGGCTGGGCTCAGCCTTAGAGATAGGGTGAGCTTGGACATCCGGAGGGAGCTCGGAGTAGAGCCGCTACTTCTTGGCTTGGGAAGGGGTCAGTTGAGGCGGTTCGGGTATCTGATCAGGATGCCTCCTGGGCGCCTTCTGTTAGAGGTGTTCTGGGTACATCCCACTGGTAGGAGGCCCTGGGGCCGACTGGAGGGATTACATATATCATCTGGCCTGAGAACACCTCAGGGCCCCCCAGGAGGAGCTGGAAAGTGTTGCTGGTGAGAGGGACGTCTGGGGTGCTTTGCTTGGGCTGCTGCCCCCGCGACCAGGCCCTGGATAAGCGGATGAAAATGAATGGATGGATGAATGACAATACATTTAAGTCTAAAATATGATGCGTTATTACAGATTAAACAAAGCAGCAGCATAAAAAGAGATTAAAATTAGCTCCACCGCAGTCAGCTACAGCATTAAATGCTGCTTACATGTTAATTCAACAATAATAATGAACCTCAGCTCTGTAATAGTCTGGGGACCTGTCCAGGATGTACCCTGCCTCTCACCCAATGACAGGGAGGATAGGCTCCAGCACACCCACGACCCTCCATCAGCACAAGTGGTTACAGACAAAGAATGAATGAATGAGTAATGAGCCAACATGAAAACAATAATAACACTGATAGGGGACTCTCTGTGTAAAAACTAACATAAATAACATTTTAAAAGCAGGACTTGTCATTGTAACAGAGTGTTTTTACACTGTGGTAATGCTTAATGTGGTAATGCTTATTCTAGTGGCAATCGCAAAGATTTCTGTCCTGGTTGATTTGGTGACACTTGTTACTGGTGGTAACAGCAAGTGCACTCTAATACTACAGCTCACAGAGTTCTGGGGGCAGAAAATTGTCATTTTAATAAAGAAGTCAGGCAATAATTAGCCTTTTTCCATCATTCTGTGAGCAGCCGTGATCTGATTTTATGCTGCACACGGCATGAGTCTGCGGACAGCGGGGCACAGTGAATGTGAAAGTTAAAGTTGGTTACCTTGCTAAGTTGGAGGTGTGCAGCCTGTCGCCTGCAGCTCTTCATCTAACAGCTCACTGTGGCTGCTCATTCTCGTTCCATTACTCCCTGCATATTTCAAACTGATCCGCTATCAAGAAAATGCAGAAAATGGCCGTTGTCTTATTCTGTAGACACATTTTTGATAAACGATAATGGTAAGTGCTTAGCTCACTGAAAAACACATTGCATTTCCTGTATGGCTGAGCCAAACACTGATGGAACGAGTATGAGTGTCATCAGAGTAAAACATGTCAGTATCTGTACTCCTGATAAGGGAACATCCTCATTTGGGTAGCTGCGTTTATCTTACTGTTGTGAGATCAAGAATGATCTGAAACTCTATTCACAGATTGTTTTGTAAATAGTTCTGAAATAAATAATAAATATAGCTACTTCAATTTCAGGCTTAAAAGCACAACTTCTGGTTAGGTCACACCCATTTCAAGTTTAAGCCCAAACGACATTCAATTTAAAAGCTGCCCATTCTAAGTAAAGATACAGATATCGGTAATGTAGTTGATTGAAAAGATAAAGACACAGACAAGACAAGACAGAACAAGACAGACCTTAAGTCATCTTTATTCAGCCTGAGGATAATTGCTGTGTTAGAGGAAAGTTAGAGGAGTGTAGATACAAGCGTGCAATATATTGGTGGTACAGTGATGCAGTGGTTAGCATTGTCGCCACACTGCAAGAGGGTGAGGGAGAGCCCTTCTGTGTGGAGCCTGCATGTTCTCCCTGTGTCAGCATAGGTTTTCTCCGGGTACTCCAGCTTCCTCCCACAGTCCAAAGACATTGCAGGTTAATTAGTGACACTACATTGTCCGTAGGTGTGAATGTGAGTGTGAATGGTTGTCTGTCTCTATGTGTCAGCCCTGTGATAATCTGGCGACGTGTCCAAGTTGTACCCCGCCTCTCACCCAGTGTCAGCTGGGATAGGCTCCAGCCCTCACATGGCCCCTGACAGTATAAGTGGTTATGGAAAATGAATGAACAAATGAATGAATATCATAACATATAGCAATAAAAAAGCAAATGTATAGCAATTCTAAAATACAAAACTAGTTACAGAACTAGAAAACAGTTTAGATAAAAAATAACTTACAACAGGGTATAACAAAAATAAAACCAAACAATTGGCCAACAGTAGGTTGTAAATAGGTGCAAACCAATTTATATTATATACAATATATACAATGACACAAACAGGTTACTAGTATGATTGATAAATATAACATAGTTGGTTATATGTTTTTACAGTGTCAGATCTGAAGTAGTTGGGGTAAGAGTGCAAAAGTGCATAGTTAATGTAGAATGATGTACCCCCCTCATCCCCAGTGTTCTGAGACTTCTTCATAATAAAAGTCAACTTTTGTTTTGAAAGTTAAAAGCTTTTAATGTGAAGCTGCAGCAGCAGGAAACATTTGGTTTGCAATAGCAGAAACTTAATACAGCATTTTTCTACAAATTGTCGCCCTCAACACCCAGTTAATAATACTGCAAACATATAAGTATACTTTTATCAGTGGGCCATATACTCAATCATCATTGCGTTAACTCATTCAGCAATAAATAGTATTTTAACCGACATTTCTAAATATGAAAATCTTTTAGATTATTACTGTAAAGGTATACTATGCAGGATTGTCGGTAAAGGTGCTCGCCGGCGACAGTGAAACTAACAGCCACCCCAGATTCACTTTCATTTCACCTTGTTATAGTTGCATTTTTACTGTCTGGCACCTGTTTGCTACCTTTTTATGAAGTACCAACCTCACCTGAGCATTACGATGGTACATGCCCATAAACGGCCCAAAAACATAAAGTAAGAAGAACATGAGAAAGTACAATCAGAGAGCAGAGTCTCTGCAGAAAAATACACTACCACACACTTTGAGTGGGTCATAAGTGATGACGAAGAGGGATTGCTTCTTTATGAGTCTATGCATTGTTTTTTAAGGGAAACCTTGAATGGTATATATTTTAAGTAAAGGGTCTGAGTACTTTTCCCAGCACTGCTCAAACAATGAATAGAATCATTTTCTGTAACCCTTTTATCTCTAAAGCATGAATATGCATGGATAAATGTTGTTTTCCTTCATAGGTTGAGGGGATAAACGGCATGTATCTCGCCAACAAACTGCTGGACAGCCATGTCAAGACTTTCATCACATACAACAAGGGACAAACATGGGCCCTGCTGCCAGCCCCTGTCGCTGATGTGGCTGGAAACAACCTTCACTGCATTCTGGTGAGCTCGAGCCTTTGGGCAGGAGTGAATGAATGCTCTTATTCATGCGAAATGAAGCTTATGACACGTATCATTCATCAAATGTTTCACCCTCATCAGCTGTGCTTTGGATGTTCTTTGATTCAGAGCCATATTTGCAAGGGGCGAGGCGCCAGCTTCAGCACCAGACTCCTAAATGGACGAGGCGATGCTCTGCTGGAATATTCTTATTATCAGCGTAAAGCACAGAGTGTCATCGCGTTTAGTTTCAGGGGTCCAGACTTTCCATTAACCTCTGTGATTTCAATTTACTACCTGTAGTCACACCGGACTAATGAATGTTAGATTACACTGAATTACATTATGTGGCCGTGTTGTTATTCAGCAGGTACAATATTCATCTTATCCAGTCAGTATGTTCTTTAGAGTCTGTTTGAAATAATGTACACGGTTCAGTTAATAACAGGTTACAGTATTTCTTTGTCATACAGATGACCATTATGCTCTTGTCTGCTTCCTGACCCCCTCTCCAACCTCTGCTGTTTGAAAAGCCGTATTGATGTTTTTCAGCACGCTTTAGTCTGAGAGATGAGTGAAGATGATTTGAATCAATTTTGCCAGTTTTATCAGTGCATCTTGGGGAATTTTAATTACATGCCTTGTTTGCTTTAGAATGAAACAATTCAAATGCCCTCCGTGTCCTCTCAGCCATTTTCTGTCTTTTATTTTCCAGGCAGAGGAGATGAGAGAAACAGAGTATCTTTGTTTTATAAATGCTATCTGAGAATGTTAGCACTTTCCTCTCAACGGGAAGCATAGTTTGAAGGCAAAGCTAATTATAATTGCTTCCGCGAAAGATCTGTCTGATACATATTGTCTCCACCTGTGCTCCATTGGAATCCGTTTTTCTTGTTGACAGCCATTTTGTTCGCTGCATCTTCATCTGGAGATGTCGGAGAATCCCTACACGTCCGGACCCATCACCAGCAAGAAGTCCGTGCCGGGAATCATCGTGGCTACAGGTACCTAAAGGGAGTGCATTTGATTTATAGATTAAGCAGATCAGATCAGATTGGAGACATCCCTACTTCCTCAGATAAATGCATTTGAGCAGCAACAAAAACACACAAAACTAATCACACACTGCCCTCTTTCTGTCATTGAAAATCAGATAGTGAAACTTCAACCCCTAAATCTCATACTTTGGGTGAGATGATTAGGTTGCAGGAAGTCATAAACGTGTCCTCCAGTGGAAAATGAGGACATGCACAGATTCACAAAATGACACCTAACGATTTTATCAGGTGATTGTGCATATAGGTGTGTTGTGGATTCTTTGCTATGTAAATACAAGTGAGTGAAATTATTCATGTTTTTGTACTCAGGGAATATCGGAACAGAACTGTCCTCCACTAACCTTGGGATGTTTATAACATCTGATGCAGGGAATAGCTGGAGGCAGGTGGGTCCACACCGCATGCGTTCACCTTAAACAGATTATGTGTTCATATTGAAAGTGTGCTGTCATCATGAGGGGAGCAACTGTGTTTTTCTTTTTTTTTTCAATGTGTCACCACAACAGATTTTTGATGAAGAGCACAACGTTTGGTTTCTTGACAATGGGGGGGCTTTGCTGGCGGTGTTGCACGCAGCGACGCCTATTCGACACTTATGGTAGGTGTAGCTTCTGCTCGACAATAGCTGACATCGTAATTAGTGTAGGTAGGAGCTGTAGGTGTTGGATTCGTAGTGGGAAATTACCGAGATATCATTTTCAGGTGGTTTTTTGTGGGTTTTGATGCAGCATATGATTACATTTAATGTTTTGAAATGCTGATGGAGACAAGTTTGCATGATTATTGTATCGGCACTGCAGCTTCAGAACTGTCAGAATCATTTCCAACAGCAGAGAGTCGGTTACAGCTTTGTACTCTTGGTTGGATCTGATGGTTTGAGTGCTTTTATGTAAATGAAAAGTGGAGCAGGGTGGAAATATGAGACTGAGAATGCCCTCATAAGTCCCTCGTATTGTGGGCGCTTTGTAACACTATCTACTTTGATGTCCCTGCACATTACAGCCCTGTCAAGAGTGATTAAGCTCTAGGAAAGGTGATTTGAAACCCCCCAAATCTATTTCTAATGTTACAGCCTGAGTCATATCTCTCTTTTCTGTTGTTTTGTCACCTTCAAAAAATTTCCCTGGGCCGGGGAACATTTGTTCTTTTGCTCAGCTCGGTGTCGAGATAGTTTTTCACATTGAGGAGAATCTGAGGTGCCTCATTTGTCAACCGCGGCGAAAGCTAAATCACCTGAAATCTTTGTCATATTTCTTTGTAACTTGTTTTTTTCACTATTCGTTTAACCTTTGCGCTTGTGATGTTTAATGTTATATGCATGGGGAAAACAATATATTTTGCCACTGCAGAGGAGACAAACATGGATGGACAGAAAGACAGATGTTCATGTGTTGACAGCTGTTTGTTTGTTTTGTTTTTTTCCTGAAGGATCAGTCTAGACGAAGGAAAAAAATGGGATCGCCACAGCTTCTCCTTGGCACCTCTGTATGTGGACGGAGTTTTAATGGAGCCAGAATCTGACAATCACATTATCACGTAAGCAGAGACACACAAATGCAGTCCAGCAGGAATTAAACCAGAATTATCAGGCTTGAAAAAGAAAAGCACCCCCAGAGATTTTTCATAAGGGTGGCCAGATGGAGCCACTGAAAATATTGGGGTGGCACACCAAAACCAAAAGCTAACTGAATTTCAGGAATTCTGTTTTACTGCTGAAGTATACAAACAAGTTGAAAACTACGGCAGTATGGAAAAAGACAAATACACATCTTTAATTTGAAGAAGTACATTAATTGTAAGGAACAAAAGTGGGAACAAGTCAAATTTAGGTGGTACCCACAGAATCCATTTTTATTCAGATATGTTGAGGTGAAAAGTCAAGGGACCCCTTTGAAAATGGCTGTGCCAGTTCTCTCATTCAAAATTTAGCCTAACTTTGGAGCGTTTTTTAGCCCCCTCCCAACAAGCTATGCTAGCATGGTTGGTACCTATAGATGCCTTGGGTTGTCTAGTTTCACAAGATATGACTACCTATCTATCTTTGTGCTTGCTTAAAAGAATCAGCACACCACAGCCTGTTAGACCCCTGACACACCAAGTCGACTGGTCAATGTGGGGCTGTCGGTGAGCATCTGCCACCCTAGTTTTTGAGGTGTATCCCACACCGTTGGCACTAGTCGGCCATTGTTGGCTTTTTTTTAGCATGTTAAATTAGCGTCACAGTCGGTGGGGCCCTGTGTTGAGTGATATTACTCTAATTGGTAGTTCAGCTCAGTGCACAAGAAGAGAAACTGAAGTGAGGAAAGTAAACAAACAGCCAAAATTGAAAAGATTTGAAATTATTTTTATTTTTAGCCATTAAACTCTTTAGCAGAAACAGTTCGGAATAGTTTGTGTTATTGTTTACTATAACACTGTAAATCTTCATTGTTTTTGTGTTGTGTTCTCAATGTAATAATTGGCTAATGAGCGTCTTGAACGCATTTACAGGTTGTTTTTTTTCAATGGCAAATACTCATGCAGGTGCAGAACATACCTGCTAGTTGGCTGTTTGCTTTAGTCTTTCCAGTGTGTTCAGTGCAATTTTTTTGCAGAGACCCAGGTGACGTGAGTTGACACAGTAGTCAGCCTTCGTCACCACTAGTTCTTTGATGTTGGTTTGGTGTGTCTGGGCCTATAAAGGCAGTAATGTTGGCCTCCAAGTATTTTCACCAGGGGGCTCAGTGGCAGCAATCGTATGACAGTGACTATGGCCCTCCTAGCCCCCCCTTAGGGACGCCACTGTTGAAGAATTTGCTCCTCTGTGGATAGAAACAAAAAGGTCCATCAGTCATAAATCGAGTCGTAGGTGCTGTTGTGACGCCATGACATCAGAAGCTTATATACCTGATACCTGTATCTCATCTGATATTTGCATTTTGGTGAATCATCTCCCAGTTTCTTTGGACACTTTAGTCATCGATCAGAGTGGCAACTGATCAAGATCGACTACAAGGGCCTCTTTAGTAGGAGATGCATGGATGGAGATTATCAGACATGGCACCTTCACAACAAGGTAACAGGAATATTAAACATTATTGATTTATTGTCAGCTTTAAGAGATGCATGTTTGTCTGTCATCACTGTAAACACAACCCCCTCGCTTAATGCACGCACAGAAATCTTTATGTCTGTGTCTCGTTTCTTTGCAGAGTTTCTCTCAGTCTTGTAAAAGACTAGATTTCTTTTTCTCTGTTTGATAGGGAGAGCTGTGTGTGATGGGCGAGAAGCAGATCTATATGAAGCGCAGGCCAGGCAACCGTTGCATGCTGGCCCAGGACTATTCGAGGATCTATTCCTCAGAGCCATGCCTCTGCACAGCCTATGATTTTGAATGGTAATGACTTCATCTCTCAGTTTTCCCAGCTGGGACAATACAGAAACTGAGACTTTATCCTCAGTGATCCTTAATTTCATTAGTCACGTGTTTACCAAACAGCCCCTCTCCTTTGAACATCTAATTACGGCTGCTTGTACACATTTGTAATCACAACAGAAGTATCACTTTGCAGAACTTTGTATGCCCTAATATCCATCTTACATTGTGCATTTACTGGATAACCAATAAGACTGTATTCATTGAATCTAATTATAGTTTTGAAATTGTGGATGGGAGTTAGGAACTTTTCATGGTGCTACTGCAATTTGCATAATGTCAAGTGACTTATTAGAATTCAATTAATAATGAATCACTAAATTAATTTTAAATATCTTTTATCCATCTGTCTAAAATTCTGTTTGATCCTGCTTGTCTGACAATCATGTCTCTAGTTATGGTCTTAAAATATGCCACAAAGCACCAAGCGCGGAGCATTTGCCCCACTACAAAAGCTTGTAGATTATTTGAGTAGCACTGTTTATCATTTTATGAAGTGTCGTGTTCTGTTTTTTTTTTCTTTGGCAGTGATTATGGTTGGGAACGCCAGACCGACGGCAAGTGCTCCCCTGCTTTTTGGTTTAATCCAAACGGTGTGGCTAAAAGCTGCAGCACCAGCCAAAGCTTTCTTAACAGCACAGGGTAAGTGGCTCCCAATGTTCAATCCATCACAAAACAATATTTCTCCATTCCAGCTTGTTTGTCATGATGTCTAAAACACAAAGCAAAAAATAATGGCTCGCTTCCTGAATGAGTCAGAAAAAAGGCCTCTGAGTAGAGCTGAAAAAAAGTAACCTAGACTGTGTCCCAATTCCATAATGCATAATGATAAGTCGCTTTTGAGTGTGCTGTGTGTTCACACTCAAACAGTGACAGAGTGAAGTATACTCAGAGAGGCCTGTATGCATACCGCTGTAAACCTGTGTGCTGTTGATGGAAACTTTTGTCCCACAATGAACTGCAGAAACTAAACTGAGGGGCTGCTCAAAACTGGGGAAAAAATAAGAGTCTGGACAGCGGTTAAACAACTCCAGAAACATATACAATAAAATTGTTATTTTTGGTAAGACATTTTGCCCATGCCTGTATGTATGAAAGAATTATGACACACTTTTATTTAAACTTTGTGCTTCAAAGGTATCGTAAAGTTTTGTCCAATAACTGTAAGGAGGCCGGGAGGAATGTGTACTCGCCCAAGAGGCAGTTGTGTCGCCCCAGACCACCCAGAGGCCTCCGGCTGACCACCAGTCAAGGGGAGCTCAGTGCCACTGTTGGAAACAATGTTACCTTCATGGTCTACCTCGAAGATGTGAGTCATATCGCCTAAAAGTCACTGTAGTGTTAGCAGTGGCTGTAGTTAGCATGACTATTGGCGCTGTGAACTAAATGCTAACACCAACATACTTTGTATTATACTGATATTTTGCAGGTTTAATGTTTACCACGTTCACCTTCCCAGTACAGCATGTTAGCATGCTAACATGTGCTAATTAGCACTAAACCCAAAGCACAGCTGAGGCTGATAAATGTCACGAGTTTTGCAAATGTTTGGTTATGAAAATATTGTTAAAGGGACAGTTCACCTCAAAATCAAAAATACATATTTCTCTTCTTACCCGTCGTGCTGTTTATCAATCTAGATTGTTTTGGTGTGAGTTGCAGAGTGTTGGAGATATCGGTTGTAGAGATTTCTGCCTTCTCTGGAATATAATGGAACTACATGGCACTTGGCAAAAATCATAAACAGATTATTCAAGATAATCCACAGACCTTGTAGTGAGCAGTGTCATGTGGGAACTAGGGGTGTAACGGTACACAGAAATCACGGTTCGGTACGTACCTCAGTACACAAGTCACAGTTCGTTTTTTTTCGGTACAGTAATAAAAAAAAAAAAAAGACAACTATTAAATATCTTTTACTTATTGGTAACCTAATTAAAACATACCACCACAGCAGTTAACTCTTTTTACACATTTTTTGAATGAAAAATATAAATATAAATTTCTGCTTAAACACTTTTACTCAATTAAAATAAAAAGTATAGTGCAGCTGGTCAGCTTTAAAGCCTGCTCAGATTCAGTTTTACTAGGAACTTACTTAGCTTTCCCACTTTGTTAAAGTGCAGTAAACAAAACATGCTTGTATCTAAAGTGCAGCTCAAACAATTTTACTCAGCTCCAATGGCGTTGTTTATTTCTTTAGCGTGATGGTCAGGGAAACACTCTTTCTTTTTAAACGACGACGATATCGTAGTTTGCACCAGATTGCTTTTTCTAGTCGTGCCGGTTAACGTTCAAACTCGGGTGGTGTCGCTTTAGATGCGTTAGCATGTTAGACGTGTTTCCAAGTACATACCCGACCGCTGTTCTGCAGTGTCGGCACACTGCTTTTGTCTTGTCCACTTGTTTATTTCCATCTTCGTATTTTACCCTGAAACCAAAGTGTTCCCAAACGGAGGACTTAAGGTTTGCGGGTGGGTCTTCAGGTTCGTCAGGCTCACTTGCCATGTTGTCAAAATGCGAGAATGCACTGCACAAATTGAAAGCAGGGATTTACAGTTGGACTCGGTCCGTCACTCAATTATGTCTGTCGGGGAACTAGATATTTTAAATGGTTCGGCTCGCAAAAACGGAATTAAAATAAAAAAAAATAAAATAATATCCTGCGCCCAATAATTCGGTACAGGGTCATGCCGAACCGAAAGTCCGAACGGTTTGACACAAATACATGTACCGTTATGGCCCTAGTGCGAACTATTTTCTTTCTACCCAGCTACACCCACCAACCGTGTCAATGTGGAGAAGGAAGCAACAAGAGGCTTGTGACAGTGTGAGATGTAAACATTAATGTGGTCCCCCTTGGCTGAGCTGTGACATTAGTTAGCTTAGTGTTGCTGGTTGAGCTAGCAGTAGATGCACACTCGAGAGAAGGCAGGTATCTCCAACACCCTGCATCTCACAACAAAACAATCTAGACTAATAAATAGCGCTACAGGTAAGAGGAAAAATATGTACTTTTGATTTTGGAATGAACTGTCTCTAAGTATTAGACAAATTACGATTTTGACCTGATTATGGTGCTAAAGGAAGGGAGGACGAATGTAGTTACAAAATTACGTGGCGAGTAGTCCAATAGTTGTTGAGATATTTAACTCAAAACCACAAATGTCAACACACTGAAAGTGCTGGAAGAAAAGTTGCAGATTCATCTTTTGGGTACAGTAAATGTCTGTGCCAGATTCTGTGCCAATGTACCAAGCAGATGTGGCAATATTTCACTGGCAAATAAAAATGGTAAGACATGAGGTGATCAACAAAGTTCTAATAAATACTTGAATGTCAGTACCCAATTTCATCGCAGTCCATCCAATATATTTTCAAACCAAAAATGCCAACCTTGTAGTGGTGTAAGACGAACATTCAGGGGATCACCACTCATTAGGATGCACCGTCTGTGAACCATAAATGTGTTCACCAAGTTTCATGCCACTCCATCTGATAGTTGTTGAGACGTGTCGAGTCGAGAGTCACGCCACGAGCATGACTAAAACCATATTTTCATGTTTACCTCTAGCATAGTGGTGCAGATAGTTTTGTTTTTATTTGTCCATGTTTTGAGATATCTCTGGTATTTTTGCCTCCAGCCCAAAAACTATGAGTGGAATTTTGCTTGCTGTGAATTTAAAATTTCAAACAGTATCTTTACTGGATCATCCTCAGATCTCAGTGTGAACAGTTTTCATTGGAAGTACTTTCTGCTCGATAAATAATCTCAGTAAAAACTGTTGACAGTGTGTTCTGTGGATTATTCAGAGTAAAGGGGACACTGTGTCTGGAAGGAAAAGCTGTTGTTGATTCTTTAACATCACAAATGGAGCCCTATTGTGTTAGTGTGGCAGTGGAAATACTGATATCTCAAAGTATGGGAAGCCAGAAGGGAGTATGTATGCCAGAAGGGATAGTAAGAAAATCTGTTTTTAGTTGTTTTTGTGTAATTTATGTGAAAAAAGATCCGGATAACGGGAATATGTGTGTTTGTTTTGGATGATTTTATCAGCTGGCTAGATGGCACCAGATTATAAACTAATCCTTCTTACTTCCGTGACCTCTGGAGCTCTATTTTTACTTTTCCTCTTTTTTCCTCAGTTGAATTTCTGTCTCCCTCCATTCATATTCACCTGCAAAGTGTTTGTGACACGGCTTACAGGACATCTCAGCCCCAGCACTTTAGTAGTGGACTATGCTCGCTTCACTTGTATGTGGTCTAATTGAAGTATCCTGACCTAAGCTGCGGTGACAGATGCCATGTCTTACCTCCCGTCCACAGGGAGACTCGCTGAGGACCAGCATCCAGCTCGACTTCGGGGACGGCATCAAGATCACATACTCTAACCTGAGCAGGACCGATGATGGCATCAACCACATCTACAGAGCGACTGGGATTTACCGAGTGACAGCATCTGCCGAAAACAGCCACGGATCTGACAGCAGCACGCTGTTTTTACACATCACCAGTATGTGAATAAGAGACGTCATTACTCATTCCTGCGGCAGCGCATATAGCATGAATCTCTTCTCTTTCATGGATAGTCACATTCCCACTCTGCTGAATTTTATTTCAGTCATGAATGTATTACTTTTATGCATTTTAGCCTTGGGAAATGGAAAAACACACCTGGAGCTAAATGTACATCAGCTGCGATCGCAGTAATAATCCATGAATGATAAGTTTGTGTGTTTTACGTGTGCCTGCATTCATTTGTATGCACACATGTGTAATGCACAGATGTGTGGTGGTGTTATGTGTTGCTGCCTCAGGTCCAGTGGAGCGTATATACCTCTCCACTCCTATTGTAGCCATCAGGGGGAAGGAGGTTAATCTGACTGCGTTGGTATGGCCGAGTCACACCAGAACATTGACCTTCTTCTGGTGGTTTGACAACAGCTCCGAGGTGAGAAGCTTCTCCTACTCCTACTCCCACTATTGTTCCACACACACTTTTTATACTGCAGTTTTTCCATCCTCTCTTGATGCCATTGTGTTGTTTAAAAAGTGTAAATCTACTGAGCTTTCACACAAATCATGTAAAATGTGACTGCACGTGACTGCCCTGTGTCTTTCTGGAGGATCCAGCGAGAATGGCTGGTCATATTTATTTATCACGTTGATTGTGCTCACTGCAGCACCCCCTCATTATACAGTATGTCAAGGGCTGCATGTACGTAGTATTCTATATTCGGCTGGGAGAATGCAGGGTTTTTCTGTGAAACTCTCTGTGTTTTTCCTTTTGAAATCCAGCCCATTATAACCTTGGAGGGAAGCATCTCATACACATTTCACAGAGAAGGAAAAAACAAGGTCACGGTCCAGGTTGCTTCTGGGAGCACCATAATGCAGGATTCAAAAGTTATAACTGTTAAAGGTGAGTGGGGGAGACAGTCTTCAAAGCACTTTAATTGGTGCGATGCGCGTTACATGAATATGCAATATGCTTTCTCGGGGAAAGTATGATGCCTCTCGGTCCACGCTGCAAGCGGCGCCACGTTGGTGTCAGCGTGGACTCATCTAATGAATAAAATGTCACGGTAGGCGAACACGAAATCTTGAGGAGCAATTAACTTCAAGGCATATGTTGCCAAATGAGAAAAGACAAAACTGCACATCAGATTAATCAAAAACGAAACCAGAAATAACATTCATATTCTAACAGACATCACTTTGCTTTTTTTTTTTTTTTCCCCCCACCAGAGTTCTTCAGGTCGCTGCTGTTGTCGTTCTCACCAGCTCTTGATGAACACAACCCTGACATCCCCGAGTGGAGGGAGGACATAGGGCGTGTGGTGCGGACAGCTCTGTCACAGGTACAGCGAGTCCATATTACTCTGCGGTCTTTCCTGGAGCCAGCAGTCACCAGTGGCTTTCAGGGTCATTACTATTTCATACCAGTGTGCAGCATTGATACTGCAGTCTTGATGTCTGTTTGTACTTTACCTTTGACAACAGTGACCAAACACAGTTATCTAGAAATTGAACTGAAGCTGTTAAGTCAGTTTGCCGATCTTAACTTTATTTTGCAAAGTTCAGAAATAACAGTGCAAACTTTATCCGTGCCTGTTGTGTGTCCCGTCGCTGCAGGTGTCTGGGGTTCCTGAAGATCAGCTGCTGGTGTCTTTGTATCCTGGACTTCCATCCACAGCAGAGCTCTTCATCCTGCCTGACGAGCATACGTCAAGTGAGCACAAGAGAGGAAGTGAGAACGCTTTAGAGACGGTAAGACGTGTGGAAATACTCCAATATTATCATGTGAACCTTTGTCAAGAATAGCTGTTTTTATTACTCCACTGATGTGACACATAAAATGATAAAAGACATGATTAGTTACGAAAAAAGCACATGTCCCCAAATCACCATTAGATAAATTGCTAAATTGATTTTGGCCTTGTTTTATATATTTATTTTTTCATACCAGCTGCTGTGCAAAGGAGCCAACAAACCAGAAGACAACAAAAGGAATAGTTCAACATTTTTGTAGCTTGTTTGCCGAGAGATATGTCAGAGATTAAACTGATTTTTGTATCCGGTTTAGATATTAAGATCGCATTTTATCTAGATTGTTCACTCCGTACACAACAGAAATGTAAAAATAAGTTGTGTTTTGCGGTAATTTGTCAAATTTCAGGATGTTTGCAGGTGAATTATTGAACTATGGCGAGAGCTGGGCGAGCTGTTTCCCTCTGCTTACTTTCATTATGCTAAGCTAAGCTAACGGCCTCCTGGCTTCAGCTCCACACTCACTGTACAGACATGAGAGTGGTGTCGATAGTCTCATCTAACTCTTGGAAGAAACATATTTGTTGAACTATTTCTCATCAGGAAAGTGTTACATCTCTTTCTAACTGGACAGGTCCAAACAAGCAAGCAAGTGAACATTCGATTGTTTCAGTGTTTCCTAATGATGTTCTGCCACTCTGCCTATTCGTCTATTTATTATTACATCTTGCTTTTTTTTTTACTGCTTACGATCATCCTTATATTCCTTTGTGTCTTTATACTGTTCGCTTATTATACTGCTTTTTGTTTTTGTACAGTTTACTTTTTTTATGTACTTATATATTGCTTTGTTTTTGCACTATCCCTTTGCTGCTGTAATGATGCAAATTTCCTCGCTGTGGGATGAATAAAGGATTATCTCATTTTATCTTATCTTATATAACCTGCTCCATGGGTCAGGGAACAGGCTAAGTGATGTGTCGTTGGTTTGCAAAACTACTTGCTCTAGCTGTATTTTTGGCAAAGCTTCGCACACCTCCACCCTGTTTTCAGAGCAACAGCAAACCGTTGCTTAGTCTCGCTCAGGTCTCAACAGGCTTCTTGAGTTAACTCGCTTGTTGTTAGGAAGAGATGATGGTTCTAAATTGCCAGTCTATGCTATGATCAAGGCATTATGGTACTTAATCTTACAGATATTTTATTTGTATTTATTCTAGCATCATATATCATTCTTTGTTTCTGTGTTTTTCTTAAATATGTGAAACAGATATCAGATATTTTTGTCACTGCCCTGAACCAAGGCCTGATCCAGTTTGAGCTGAAAGCGGATGTTCGCATTATTGTGTACATGACTCAGCAAACTTTGGGTAAGTTTGTCCTAACATCCCTACACACTTGGACCAGTGTAATTGTTGCATTTAAAAGCCTTCCGCAGGTGCATTAAAAACAAAGCGTTCAAAAAGATCTTAGTCTTATTTCATGCCAGTTTAGTTAGTACAGTATGTCGACACATCCGCAGCGCATTTGTTCTGCTTGCAGATGTGCGAGAGATAAGCCACGTGTCTTCCTTGGGATGATTTGACATTGAGTTCTACCAAAACACTGAGGAAATAAGACAAAAGGCAACAGTTTTCCCCGAGTGAGATTTATATGATACTGTATATCACAGGATTTAAATATCTTTCACAGTGCACCAGTTTTACCTGAGGCGGTGAGACAGTAGCTCTCTTTTGTAGTCAGCCAATCAATGACATGATTGACAAAGAAGGCATTTTGTATGCGCTGAGGAAATCGTCAGGGTCACCGGGTCATTAGCATATCGCAAAAACGTGTCGATCAACCCTGCGTGGCTTTACCCTTTTCATCCACCAACTGATCTGTCTTCATTTGTGTCTGCATACAAAGGTCTGAGTTGCCTTTAAAATGATCCAGAAAGGTCATAGACTTCATAGGCTTCTCTGTGAAGGAGAGAAAGATGGGCAGCAAGGGGAAATACTTTGAATATTGCATCTCAGCATTTAAAAAGCCATGACTATGCATAAGCTATCTGCATGACGGACCCCAGGGAGAGGCAGTAGACCTCCTAAAGGTTCCTTTTAATACCCTGAGGGGAGAACATGCAGAGAGCAGCTCTTCAAACTGTACCTGTGGTTGTTACATGACACGGGCTGATGAAAGTAATCTGGTTGAAAGAGGACATGGCTTACGGGGGGAAAACAGAAAGCATTTGTCTTGGTCAAAATGTGACGCTCATTTGATGCGTTTATCTTCCAGCACCACTTGTGGATTCAAACTCCATCCACAGTGGGTCGGCTATGCTGATGCTGCTCACTGTGGTGTTTGTTGGTTTAGTGGCATTCTTCATCTACAAGTTCAAAAGGTGTGTTCACTTTAAAAAAAAATATGAATAATATAATAATATAAAAAAAATATATTGTATTGAATTCATCTGTAAATCAGAAGGATTTATCTGTGTTGTTGGTGAAAACCTTACACGGCTGCTCTGCTTTCTCTTTTTATTAGGAAAATCCCTTGGATCCATGTTCAGACTGAAGACAGTCATGAGAAGGAACCGGAGGTGATCAGTACAGTCGGACAGAACGACAAGATGTCCAAGGTCAAGCTCAGTGAATTTCCCTCTCAGAAAGAACTCATGGAAAAGGAGTTGGAGGCCAGGAGCAGAGGTACAGAAGCTACACAATACACTCATTAACACCATTAACAAAGATTATGTGTTGTACAAAATATAATGTACTTCAAAGGGGATCTATTATGCTTTCCATTGTTTTATTTTCTTCATATAAATAATGTTACAATGTGGGATGTTCATATTAAATTTGAGACCATTCTGAATACTGAATATGTTTTTTCTGCTTTGACTACAAGATGATGTCAGATCATGACAGATTTCTGTATGTGGTCATCAGCTCCAGGCACGCTGTTGCGAATGACTATAACAGAGTATAGCTGCACCTTCTGCTGTGAGAAATCATCAGTACAAGTCTCTAAACCATAATCCTCACAACTCAACATGATCTAGTAGGAATATGATTAGAAATCAGATCAGAAATTGACATCAACAACCAAGATGACATGTATCCCTGATGTTAGCATGTGGCTACATGTAGCAGTGTACTTGCAGCTGGGGAATGACTTGTGTATGGCAACACCATCTCCTGTTAAAAATCACCAATAAAAGCTTCTTAACACAACCAGACATGCTCCAGCAGGGATGTGATCCCAACTTGGGGAAAAAGTTTACATGTTTCCCTGAAGTTAGCATGTAGCTATATGTAGCAGCGTAAGCTATGTAGTTCAGTGATGTTCATTATGTCTTCAGTTTCTGATAATCACTTTAGTTGTTCTTTTATCTCAAACATGTATTAAGGTGTTTCATACCTTTTTAGGCTTCTTGACATGTTTCGGCGGAAACTAAAAAATAACACAAAAAAGTAAATAAGAAGTGAATATAACAAGAAATTATCAAAAGATAAGAAAAAAAACTAAAAATAAAAAAAAGAAGAACACAAAAACAAAAAACAAAAAAAAGAAAAAAAAAAAAAAAACACAAAAAAAGAGAAAAAAAATAAAAAAACAAAAAATAGATAATAGAAAAAGAGAACAACATAAAAAAAAAAAAAGAAAAATAACAAAACAAAAGATAAAAACAAGAAAAAAACACAACAAAAAAACAAAAAAGAGAAAAATAAAAGTTTCCGCCGAAACATGTCAAGAAGCCTAAAAAGGTATGAAACACCTTAATACATGTTTGAGATAAAAGAACAACTAAAGTGATTATCAGAAACTGAAGACATAATGAACATCACTGAACTACATAGCCTACGCTGCTACATATAGCTACATGCTAACATCAGGGAAACATGTAAACTTTATCCCCAAGTTGGGATCACATCCCTGCTGGAGCATGTCTGGTTGTGTTAAGAAGCTTTTATTGGTGATTTTTAACAGGAGATGGTGTTGCCATACACAAGTCATTCCCCAGCTGCAAGTACACTGATACATGTAGCCACATGCTAACATCAGGGAAACATGTCATCTTGGTTGTTGATGTCAATTTCTGATCTGATTTCTAATCATATTCCTACTAGATCATGTTGAGTTGTGAGGATTATGGTTTAGAGACTTGTACTGGTGATTTCTCACAGCAGAAGGTGCAGCTACACTCTGTTATAGGCAGAGACGCCATAAGTGCAGATGCATAAAAAAAAATACTGACCAATCAGAGCAGACTGGGCTTTTTCAGGAAGGAGAACTACAATAGATAGGAGCTAAAACAGAGCATTTCAGACAGAGGGTTAATACAGGTGTTCAGCACAGACAGTATGAGAAAAATAAGTGTTTTCTGAACACATGTTCTAGTAGAAAACCATAATACAAGTATGAATCTAAAAATGCGCATAATAGGTCCTCTTTAAGTAGTGGTGGAAGTATTAATATTGTTTTACTCTAGAAAAAGGAGCAACATACCACAGTTTGCAAAAAATTCCATGTAAAATCTTAAGTAAAATATCTAAGTATTGTCAAGAAAATGTACTTAAAGTTAAACATAGTTGTTACACAGTCAAAATGGGCTCTGTTGTTACATTATTATTGAAAACTTTCCAATAATACACAAGTGGATGTATTTTAAGATGTGTAAAATCAGTCAGAAACCACAGTATATGACAGCTGAATAATACAGAATATTAATTATAGCTGTGTACTACTCAGACCCATTAATATAGGATTTAAATGATGGCTATCACTGTAAGAAACGAATGCTCATTAACATTCTATTGCCCTAAAACAAAATTAAGCATCTGTTTTGAATAAACTGTAACTGTATTTTGGTGTTGACACAAAATACAATGTCTCAGTCTTATTTAAAAGTATCTTTCTCTGTACATTGATGTGCAGCACACATCCAAGGTGCTGGGACGTCTTCATTGATGCAATGTGTCACATTTTTGCAAATTGCACGCCACAAGCACAACTGCAGCCCAGTAACAAGATATCACGGTGACAAGTTAACTTTGTGATTGCTATGGCTGACATCCACTGTGATGCCTTTCAGATGAGAACCATTCAGTCCCTGCAGACACTGTGGATTATTTGACAAAAGTAGCATTGCAGTGCTCCTGACAAAGACATGTGGGCTGCAGGCCGTTTTTCTGGTCGCTCAGCACTTTGGCTGTTCTTCATTTCTCAGCTGTTTCTACCTTTTCCAAGTCCTTGCTGATCTGAAACAAAGTAACTACTTCTTTGGTTGCTTTCGAAAGTGTTTATTTACAAAAGGGCAGAGCAGCGTGGGACCTTTTGATTTGGGCCTCGCTAGATTAAATTAATTTACAACCTGCTGTTTAAAGATTTCATTAATACTCTGACGCTTGGGTTAATTCTCATGCAGTCTTATTTTGGCTGGGGAAACAAGTACAAGGCTTCAGTCCATTTTTAAAGGATAACAAAAAGTCTTATCATCTGCTGCTGCAGGTCTCTGTCCAGTAATCATTCATCCATTTTAAATAATGCCTTCATTGATTTATCTACAGAGTTATCCCTCACTATTACAATGTGAACACTCCTGACATGTAGATTTAATTGTGTTTAAAATCTGCCAAGTATAAACAGAATAACCCCGTGAAATTTATTTCCTGGAGTACAGATTTTTCCATTGCCCGTAAGGTAGGTCTTGCTCCAGCCAGTGGAAAACATGCTCCCTACCAGAGGAAAAACATTAACCAGGTTTAATTTAATTAATGTCTGGGTTCAGTGATTTTATGTGTTCTCATCTTAGTCCAAATGGCTTTACAAGCTCTAAGAAGAAGGAGAATCTGCTAGTCATTGATAGTTTTCTCAGTGCAGCTGCGTAAAAGCAAAATACGTAAAGGCTGAAGCGAAGATTTGAACATTTAAAACAGGATTTGATTAAAATGAAAATTTAATGATGTAATGATTTATGTTAATACAAATTGGCTCTGAATGATTAAAATGACAGCTCGCTGTGTCTCATGTTTCATAATAAGCAGAAATTTGCAGTTCGGTTGAACTAAGAACTTAATAAGCTGTAAACGACATTCAGGACAAGGCAGGAGGATGTCAGAGCAGGCCTACCTTGCAATCAAGTCAACGTTGCCCAGTGTGAGAGACACAAAATTAATACTTTGAAAAAAAAAATTATATACAGAACTACAGTTCTCTGATTGGACCACCCTTGATGCTCCTGCACTGTGAGGGAGAAGTGAACTTCTTACTTGAATGCAGTGTGACTCAAGTTTTATTAAACCTCAATTGAATTACACTTAAAGGGGATGTATAAGGCTTTTTTTACTTATTTTCTGTCATATATATATATATATATATATAATTACAATTTTGGATGTTTATATTCAACATGCCTAAAGTTTCACATAATGAGTTAAACGTATGTAAAAGTAATATCACACTGTTTTCGATTTGTTTTCTACTTTTGCAACAACATGATATCAGATAGTGACAGATTTCTTTATATGGTCATCAGCTCACACACACCAAGTGTTTACATTACATACACTGCTACATGAAGCTACATGCTAACGACAGGGAAACATGTAATCTTGGTAGCTGATGTTAATTTATTCCTAATTATGCTGGAACATGTCCGATTGGGAAGATTTGGTTTAGAAGCTTTTATATGTGATTTCTGACCATTAAAGCATGTAAACATTGTCTAGTGCAGTGGTTCCCAACTGGTGGGTCACAGTCCAAAAGCGGGTCATGGGTCCATTCTGTACACACAACAAGAGACTCTGAAACATGTCAAGTTCGTAAAAAATACGATTTATTTTTTAAATACAGTGAATTTCTGGCACAGAGCTTTTATTTTGATGTGCCTGTTTCCTGCTGTAGAGTGAGTGACAAATGGACAGCTACCTAACAGAAACGGCAAACAAGCTCAACGACATGGCCAAATGCAAGAATGATGCTGAATGTATTAAACTATGTGGACCTTTCACTAATGACTAAGGAGAAGTCTTGACCCCGGGGTAGGACCAGTTGGGAACCATGGGTCTAGTAGAACCCAAAATATACAAGTATGAGTCTGAAAATGAGCATCATCAGTCCCCTTTAAAATTTTACATTAAAGTGATACCTTAGGAGTATAGAAGCTCCAATCTGTTCTCATTCACAGGTTATACAATACCGATGCTTTGTCACGCCCTTCTGTGTCTCAACGCAAAGGGCAACCTTAAGTGTATCTATGTGATGCACAGCTGAAACACATAAGACGTGGTTGTGTTTAGGCAACAAAAAAGATAATATTTTGGGTTAAAAGTTATAGTAAAGCAACATTGACTTTTGTTTTATACGGGACATAAAGTCCGGTCTCGTGGATGAAAGTCCAGTTTTGTTTGACCGCCTCCTTCTCTTCCTCCTGCCCTATGTGGATTTTCTCGTTCTTTATAGGACATCAGTTGTTGTCAGCACTTATTGCCAAGAATGGATTTACACTCAAGTTAACTGAAAGCCAAGAGTGTCTCGTAAAGACGCCAAAGGCTGCCTTTCGTGTCTATCACCTTCCAAGAGGTGTGACAAAGCGGCAATATTTGACACCTTGGGAATGAGAACAGGCTGAAAATTCTTAGCTAAGTGTGAAGAATAAAACACTTTCATGATGTGACTTCCTCCTACTTACAGTAAAGTGTAAGATTACACCCTTTAAGAGCAACTCTGAGGGATGGCATGATGAACTGCGTGTATTAACAGGCATTCAGACCTCCACTGTTAATTCTTTTTTTTTAAATCCTTACATTTTACTCTGATATTTTATTCAGAGCATTTGTAATTTACATTTTTATTTGTGTGAAATCCTTGAAGTGGCTATAATTTATATTATTACAATAACAATATATGAAATGACAATGTGAAAGATGACCCTACAGAAAATTATCACCCGAACCTGCAGCTCCTCTCAGCTTTATGGAGCTTTGAGTTTCAGCTCAGTTTTGATTTTACGCCCCACAACTTTATTATTTCACTCTTAGTCCTCTCATAGCCTCGTTTTTGTCTCATAAAACTCTAAAAATCCATTATGTGCTACAAGCACCAAACAGCAGAGAGACAAAGTTAGTGTTTAGCTGCTGATCATAGTGAAGCACTTAGCCAGAGATGGTGGAGACCAAAAAGAGAGCTAAAAGACAGTGAATAATGGACTTACATTCATCAGGTGGCCAGACAGTTGCACAAGATTAATAAATGTTTTGCGTTAATGTTGTGTACTCAACTTGTTTCCGCTGCCCCCTAGTGGCCAAAATTCCAGTTATCGTTAGTTCAAATTCAGACCTCTTGAGCTCTGTTAAATTAAAGAGCATCGTCAAGTTGTAATCATTTTGATTACTAGCTTTTAGTTTATGAGTAGGGGTAAAAGTGAAGTTTTACTTTTGTCTCTCTAGTCCAAAATTTTATTTTTAGTAATTTCAGGTGTCTTCCCTCAGCTCTGTGTGTGATACAGTAACTTTTGTTAAGGCTCATGAGATATTTAAGGCTCAGTTCTTCATTTTAAACTTTGTCTCATCTATTACTTTACAAATTGTGAATTTGCTACAGACTACATAGATTTTAATCTTAAAATAGGCTCCATGTAAAAGCAATTTAAATGGGATGAATCATATTTTCTTTAGCAAATGTGAACTGACTGCAGGATCTTTACCTTGATGAATTCACTACCAGGTTATTAGTTATGTGGGAGAACATGAAATTGGCTTCACGCAGTTTCATACAAATCACTGAATTTAAACTACTGACACAGTTGAGAGATAAAAGTGCCACCTCTGAATAAGCCAGTGTCTGCACAATCTGAACGACCCCACTTGTCACAGCGATCTTATCTTATCAGCCCTCCATCACCAGCTCAGCCCTGCTCAGAGAGGCCACGTTCCTTTGAGACAACAGGGGGCTTTTCAACCAATATGCATGGGTGATGAATTTATAATTAAGTGTAAAAGCTTGCACAAGCTATTTGATCTTCAAGTAAAAGGATTAGAGAGACAGGGCGAGATTGAACTTTAAGTTGTTTGGTTGATGTTAATGGCAGCTCTTCCTTCACCCCAAAAATCAATGTCATGTAGATAAAGCAGAAGTATCACAGACGCTGTGTTTGCATAGTCTCTTTCATTATCACAACCTCAAAACAAGCCACTTGTGATGTTCCTGTGATGTCAAAGCAGTTGACTGCTCCTGTATTTAGTCTATTTTCATTATTTGTTTGCATGTTTACAGGAGGAATTGGAAGAAATATGGAGAGAATTGTCACAAGGGAATTTCCAAACTGTACTAATGTCTGAGACTCTGTTATCGAGTAAGTACAGATTGTTGTGTTACAATTGTGCTGAAATTGTTTGCTTTGTTGGCATTGTTCTTTTTTTTTTAAAAAATTAATTTCACGCTGATAGCTGCTATTGTTCAAAGTCATGTTTTTAACCCACATGGATAGAATAAATATCTACTTTACAACACGTGATGAAGATCAATCCACCGAGCCAGACTCCAGGGCCTCTAGTTTGAGGGCGGTGAGTTGCTGAAATTGGCTGATAACGTTGCACAAACTGTCCAATTAGCATCAAGATTCCCTCGCTCTACATCGACACCACTGATGCTAACACGAGCATTTTATGAATATTCAGCTGCCATTGTGTACTTTTGATGAATGCTTTACTGCCTGTGGACAAATCACCGTTTTTCTTAATTAGGACAGGACAGGAAAAACAGACTGCTGCTGAAATTATATACCTCAAAAGCTATTTTAAAAACACTTAAATAAGAAAGGTACCATTAACTTAATGAACCAGTACAAGAAAAAGGATGTATAGGCTTTACTGTATGCATAAAAGTTTGATAAAGGTATGTTAAATTCTGCATTGAATGACAGAACATGATCATGACTTACTAAAAAGGACATTTAGGCCCTAAAGGCCCAGACACACCACAGTGACATCAAAGAACTACTGGTGATGAAGGCTGACTGCTGCGTTGCCTCACATTGCCTGTGTCTCGGCCAAAACGTTGCATTTTACACACCGTTAAGTCTACAGCCAACGGCCAACTAGCAAGTACGCTTATTACACAGCTACGTACTAAAGAAATCAATAATCTGGCACAAAATATTAATTTAAAAATGATTCTATAGCATCTTTGACAATGATGTCATACATCAGTGTGCTTGCCTGATGGAGAGCAGGCAACTGGGGCAAAAGCTACCAACACAGCTGTTCCAAATCAGGAAGAGTTTCTTTTGAATCCCAACTAACGTCAGATGTAAATGTGTACACTACAGCATTGTATTAAAAATGCCTTGAGTTGGTTTTGTCCTGTATTTTTTTTTGTTTGATCTTCATTTAACCAGATAAGTCAGTAGAGATCCTATTCCCATTAACAACAGTGAAAGGAGGCAAGTCAATTACGATGTGCTGTGACAACTACCCCATTTTTTTTAAAGCCACAACCCAGATTTTTAATCAGCATTTCTCCAGACCTTTTGGGAATGGCTGACCGTGTAGGTACAAAATAGTAGCTAGTAGTGTTACACCCCACCCTTGGGCAGCTCTATGGGGTGAACAAAACACCATCACTGACCCAAATCACCACATAAGACACCTTTAAAACAAATGAACAAGCAAACAAGCCAAAAAAGTCCCATGCTGAGAGGCAGCAGGACCAGCAGTTCCCACGTCCAGAAGTCTCTCTCCTCTGCTGCTGGCACAGGGGCTCTTAAGCACCTCCTCCCTGCCAGGTGAACTGCATCTCATTAAGTAATGCAGCACACCTGGGCAGATCTACAGAGGAGGGAAAATGGACAGCAGCCCAGAACACACACACAGCTGTAACAAGTGGCCTGACACTAGTTGTGCATCCATGTACACAATTCTTAAGCACATTTACTCACCCAGGCAAAAATAAAATGGCTGTCGCTCAATACTACTTTGGTTATTTTTATTCTTTTTTCCCCCCCTAAATCTGTTATTTGAAATTTTACAAATAGAGCAGATAACAGGCAAAATAATATTTGGTCTATCAGTAGTGACTCAACAAAAAAGTAGGTAAGTAAAGTAAGAACAATACAAAACCAAGACAGGACTAAGACAAGACAAATACTACAAACCAAATCAGTACCCAGAACAAGACAAAGGACAAAACAACATAGTGATAAAATCTGAATATAAAAATATGTGGAAATACGTGTATGATGATAAAATTAACACTAAATACTAAAAGATAATATAATGGTTGTTGGTCGGGATAACTGCCTGTATCATCACAATTTATTGTCTGTAAAATAGATGATCATTCATTCAGGAATATCTGGAACAGGGAGCCCCTCATTATGCACCTGATTCTTTCCAGTTTAACACAATTAAGGACTTCCCTTATCCACACAAAAACGTAACAGTCCACTGGACTCTTGTACACTTATATCTGGCTAAATCATATTGTAGGAGGTCTGGGGGACAAAGTAATTTGTACTGACAGTAGCGTTCCACCAGGCAAACCGGGCAAGATGTGGGAATTATCGGCTTTTATCACTTTGTATGATAACATCTAACATGAGTTTAAATTTTCTGCTGAAACCTGCTGCCTGCAGTTTCACCCAACCCTTTTCTGTTGTCATTATCCTTTATTTCTAAATCCTGCAGTATAAGGATTCGCACATTATAATAGTAACGTGATTGCAAACAAGCTGTTTCTTCCACTACGTGTCTGAACCTGTGTAGACCTGTTATTAACGTGTTTCAGTAATCCTAACACATCGCTGTTCACACCTGTGTCTATCATGCATCTCCAGATGACTACTTGTGCTTGGATTTCCTTACCACCCACATCACTTACACTAGAAGGTCAAAGGGCCACACGCACAGTTATTACTTCTACACCCTCGCTAGCTGCTCACTAGTCATGTTAGCTATTGTGTCAGTACAGCTGGAGAGATTGCTACCAGCAGAATTCAACATCTCCCTCCATAGCTTAAAAAGATGGACGGTCATGCAACACTTCATCCAAGTTGTAATGAATTGGGCAAGTTTTGGTGCTGTCACCAAAACAACCACCATAACTTGCATTGTTGACAATGCAGTCCTTATAGGGGACACATCAGGATGCATTAGTACTTACACTACAAAATATACCTAGTCAGATGTGTACCAGATCACCTCGGCAAGTGGTTTGAGTGATTGGATCATAATGCTTTGGTGGTTAATTAGCGAGTTGTGATTGCATTACCCAAGACATGTTAATACCAGGTGTAAACAGGCTTTATGATCATAACTGTGTCCATAGCACCTGCTATTCAGAAACAACAGACCGTATAATACTAAAATAAATTTGATTAATCACAATCAAGTGCACAACAAAGCAGTGTAATTAAACAATACAGGTCTTCATATGATAAACAAATTTAATGTAATACAAATGCATCTCTCTGACACACAGACTAAACCAGCAGGCTTTAAAATGTGTCAAGTGTAACCCTTTTATCTTGTTTTTAGGATTTTGTCTCTTCATCTATATCAAGAACAACTCAAACAACAACAGAGAGTTTTCTGTTTAAGGCAGAACACGTCTTGCTCAGCCTCCGTTCCACAGACGTATAATTAATAGGTCGTTACGTTAAATAAACCACTTTAACACTCTGGAGAAACACGAACATTTACCGCCCTATAACTAGAGGTCTTTGAGTTGTAAATATACACTAATGAATATTTATATAGAAATGTGGAAATCTGACTGTCGTGACTGCTTCTAAGACAGAAATGTGTAGTTGGTTTTGCTCTGTAAGATAACATGGTGCTTTCAATGACTGTTTCTCAGATGAACAAAAATGTGATGTATGGACGTAAAGGTCTGGCCTTAGGAGAGGAAACACTGTAAACTTGTACATAGAGGAAGATGGAATGTAAATCTATACAGTAGACTCATCCTACTTTATTGTAAAGTCAACTCACTGAACAGGCAGTAGTATGTTTCTATGACATTCAATCTCACAACAAGCTGTATGTCCACTTTTTTATTTGATTTTTACAGTAGCATGCCCTAATTATGTGATAAAAGATATGATACTACATTAGGGTGGGCAAGTACTGTATATATATAAATATATATATCATGGTTGGTTTTACACATTAAACAAATTATTGAACACCTTGTCTAATAGTCTAGTTGTGCAATTGCCAAAAGTTGTGCATGATCTATGATATTGTTCATTTTTGTCTATGATATATAAATCGTCTTGTTTTGAATCATGTTTCTTACTGTGAACAAATTGCCATTTTAAAATTGTTCAAAATAAATGTATTTTTATATGGAACTATGTTTTTCTATCATGCATGCACCCGCAATATGTGCTGAAATGGATTGTAACATAGTTTACACTGTTTTGTAGGGCTGGCTATCGATACTTAGCACCGACACCAAGTATACCAAGTAGTATTGAAACATCTCCCGTCAAAAGATGTCTGCATTTGATCCTTTTTGCGTCGGGGGTCTGATCCTGGAATGTCTCAACTCCCCGCCGAATCAGGAAACTTTCTGTTGCTGCCGTCGCCGGAGCCACTCAGTTCATTGACTGCCCAGTGTTAGTTAGCATGTGCTAACACCGAGCCATTAAACTGTCACAACAAACTCACACCAACATTTAAACGGCTCCACTCTGCCATTAAACCTGTAGTAATCTTTTAAGTAACGTTAACCGTGTAATGGCGGGCAGACTCTCACCAACTGTCCCCTGGCATAAGGTCCCCCAGAAAGAGTGCCAGGCTTTAAAGTAAATTTTCACTGTTACCAAACAGTACAATTACAATTTTGGGTCCGTCACATAATGCCCTGTGGCCCAAAAATATGTTTTCCCCTGACTTACATGGCGAAAGAGAAGTCTGTAAATCAGTGGATCCAATTTTATAGTGTCACAGCCTTAGCAAATAACTCATTTCACTATCAGGGTTTAATCTATTTGGTCTGATTACATTTGGAAAGTCTAGAGGAGCTGCACAATTGAATTATTATATCCCCATTCAAGTTAACAGAGCGCTAACCCAGAAGTAGCTAGCTTGGCCGAATGAATTCTCTAATGTGCCTGCTCTATGGGCCACACCTTGAAACGCCCAGTCATCTGAGTAATTTTATACTCAGCAGTTTAACAATTTTAGCTTCATGTGCCACTGAGCATTTTACATAGGAACGAATGGGGCCCTGCTGCCAATGCTGTATCCAGGTCTCTTTATACATCCATGCCTGGCGTGGAACTCACACTCCTGCAGCAGCAAGTTCAGTGTATTGAGATACCACCAAAACATTTGAAAGTATGGCTCCACTACACGACACTCTTTACATATAAAATAAGGCACTCTCTTGGTATTGGTATCACTTGAAGGATTCTAGTTTTGGTACTGGTATCATAGTGTTTTTAAATGATACCCAGCCAAACTCTTGTGTCCTGGCGAATAGATGCTAAGATAGACTTTTTAGGTGTCAGTGAGTAAGAAATGCTCATGTTGTCATGACTTAAACCTGAAAACAAAGGAGGTTCATGAAGCGTTGCTTTTACAACATCGCCCCAGTATTATCTTAAACTCGGGTGCCTTGTAGCAGCCAGTGTATCGGTCTCAGCACTACTCTTTTAATGATCCCTCAGAGGCTCTGAAGTAGGCTTTAATGGGCAGAAGTGTGATAACACCCATGTGAAGATTCCCATTTGACACTTTGACTGAGCTTCATTTTACCTCTATCACTCCATCACTCAAGTTGCCAGTTACAGATGGTTTCTATTTAATGGGAACAATTACTGAGGCTGTGGTTGCATGATGAGAAACAGACGATTTTGTAAAGAAGAACCACTGGCGTTATATTGCTCATTCTCTGTCCTGATTTAGGGAGAAAAAAAACCTTTCACATTAAAATAGAAAAGAGGCAGAAAGGTTGGAGAACAAAACTGTGTGGCTGATTGGCTAAAATGATTCTCCACACACAAAGCTACAGCAACAAGGCCCTTCTTCCTCTGTTTTGCATTTTGTTTGCCACCTCAACAGCTCCATATCGCACACCAATCTTCATCACTCCAACAGCCATCAACGCCCCGAGAGTCTTATTCTCGCTCCTGCTCTCAGTCTGAATTAACACCAAGGCCTTTCTCTAACTGCCCTGGGATGTTCGGCGGTGCACAATCAAATTGAACGGTGACAATCACTAATGGATGATTCGCTGCAGCCAGACACTGTAATGTAGCACTCAATGAAAGGCAACATGCTCATCAATTTCACACTGTGGCTAACACAATATTGCTGTGGGTTATTGTTGTGGGACATTTTTCATTCAAGGTGCTACCCAGTCTGGGAAAATCTTCCTTGATTGTGTGCGCGCGTGTGTCGATTTCCTGGAGAGGGGATAATTAATTTGTTGCACAGTGGGAGAGCCAAGGAACTAGCCCATTAGAATCACTCCAGGCTACTTGGTGCTTTTCATTGTCCTCCCGCTCGGCCACATTGTATCATGCAAATGGATGCACTGAAACTTTGAGCCGGCTAAGCAACACTTGTTAAAGACAGAGATGAAGTGAAAAAATTCTACAAAAGTGAGTGTCAGTCGATCAGAACTACCAATTTCAGGCACAGTTTTGGCCTTCAGTCTGTCGATCGACAAAATCAAAGGTCAAACACAACTAAATGCTGCAGCCAACTTACATAGATTTTAACAGATCGAAGACAGCAGGAATAAGCTGTTTATGCTTCTGGGAAATGAGTTTAACAACCAGCCACGCTGCATGAATGCTGTGTTTCTGCTTTATTCCGCAACCATGGTTACTTCTGCAAGATCAAATGAAAAACACAGTAACAACCCACTGTATAATCAAGTCACTTGTAATGAATGAAGTCCTCTAGCCTTTGAGAAACGGAAAGTTCACATTTCTAACTTTTTTTTTTTTTTCTAATTAAGACATAATATAAATATCTTGGAAAAAATAAACATCATGCAATTATGTCCACAATCGTATTCACAGGTTGATTATTGGGAACTGACAAAAACTTTTAATAAATTAAAAACAAGCACGAAATAAAAGTCCTCTGATGCTCGGTGTGGAGAGACAGCGTTCACCTGACGACGGGTACGAGTTTATTTATGCTTCAGGCTCAATCGCAGGATTGGAGGGAAGAAGTATGGAGAAGCCTCTAGTCAATTTGTCTTACTGACATATGATGCTGACAACACTTAAAAAGAAAAGTTTGATGAAGAAGAACTTCAGTACTTATCCCAAAGAGACAGCAGCTGACCAAAGCTCTGTGCGTAGGCTGAGCCTTGTTGACAGGAGATACGTCTTCTCTATCTCTTGTGTCCCTCGCAGCGAAGGAGATGAACAAATCCGCAGCCTTTTGTCCGCTGAGTCCTTGGGGGCAAACCGAGAACAGACTGCAGGCTCCACTGCGTTACTGTAAACTGAGGAAAAGCCATGTGGAGATGCTGGTATCATTGTGCCAGATAAACAGTCCGGAATAAACAAATAAAACGATGAAAAAATAAGAACGCGTTTCCATTCGAACCTGGTGTCTTTTCAGTGTTGTCGTACTTCCTGTAAGAAGGCACAACAACCTTCACAGTGAGATCAGTTCAAAGAAAAGCAACAAAAACATGAGAGATGTCTTGTCTTTGTTGTAACAAAGAGCACAAGTCTTAACTTGATGGTGGTAAATCTCAAACACAAATAGCTCATAAATCTTAAACTAATAATGAAATAAAATACAGATAGTAGCACTTTTTACTGCATTACAGCAAGTGTTTGCTTCTGAAACTGTAGCGTCTTTGTTAACACAGGAATTATTCAGAAAATTTACATTTAGTTCTCCTTATAGAAACCAGAATGTACAAGAAATGCTCTGGGCAACAAATAAGTACGAAGCACAATTTTAAAAGTCATTGCATTGTTTAACAGTCAAAATGACTGTTAAACAATCAAATATAAGATTGCTGCTGCAATAATAATCCATATGCATGATTTAGATTAGAAGATTTGTGTATAATCTGTTTTTAAGTAGGTTTAACATTTATCGTGTTAGCGTTCATTCCAGTGTCACTAAAATGGCTAATTTGCGTCTCCTAAACGAGGGACTGCTCAGTTTCTCATCTACCGTATGCACCTATCTAGTCCATCCACTTTAATCTCCTGTTCTTATTTTTGTTATGACATATATAACATTTTGAGCGGCAGAGAGACAGGCTTGATGGAATACACAGATCTGGGACTAGGAGCCCTCCTTCATCTCCTGGATATTGCAAGCTTTCATTTGATGAGAATCTGGCGATAAGATTTACTGATTGTACAGAGCTTAATGAATCTGCTTCCCTCACTGTCTTACTCAGATAAGCTATTTCCACATAGTTAAACAAAGTAAACTTCACAAACACAAGCCCAAAGAAGCCCAAATAGGAGCATATTTTGAGATATTATTATACATCACTTCTGTCCCGCTGTTTTGATACTTTCGCATTTGAGCAGGCGCAGCTGTAACCAGCTGAGACAAATAACTTTTACTCCTTCCATTATGGATGTACATTATTTACATAAAAAGATCAATGTCCTTGCAAAAATACAAGTATTTTCAGTCAAAAAGTGTCCCTTTTTCAAGAAGCGAGTATAAATCTGTACAGTCTCCTCAGAGGGATTAGGCAGCACAGTGTGAACTGGTCCATCCATGCATGGGTAGCAAAACACTCGAGACCATTCATTGTGACCGTGGTTTCATCGCTTGCTGGAAGTAACTGCCAAAGAAGATGTATTGCTTTCGAGTTGGTCATAGACTCTCAACATTAAAACACATGGGGCGCTTCATCAGAGAGCTTGATGTCTGTGTGAGATGGCAGGTAGCCTGACAAGGGAGAAGAAAGGGAAGAGACAGAGGAGGAATTTTATGTAGCCATTTGCATACGGGTGTATTTTTGCAGGCAAACACATTTATCTTGGATGGGTCGATTGTTTAGCTGCGGGTAGAGGTAAATCAGCTGGAACCTCATAGATATTTCTTGATGAAAATGCTTTCACCACACCGCTACTTTCCTGATGCACTAATTATTTTATTGGGTCAAATAATTCACCTAGACATTCTCATCACTTTAGCTCGCACTTGATTGTGCTTCACTTACCTGTGAATACTAATACCGCGCGGTGACAAACTCAGGTTGGCAAATACATAAATATACCCCACATAATAACAACTGTATCTTGGCAACTCCTGTATAATAATATAGGCGGAGGGAGAATAGCAACAGCACTTAAC